TCTCGAAGAGGAGTGCATGTTCCCCAAAGCTTCTGACACAACCTTCAAGAACAAGCTGCATGATCAGCATCTTGGCAAGAGCAGGAGCTTTGAGAAGCCAAAGCCTGGCAAGGGCAAGTCTGAGGCTCACTTTGCCCTGGTTCACTATGCTGGTACAGTGGACTACAACATCACTGGCTGGCTGGACAAGAACAAGGACCCACTGAACGATTCAGTTGTTCAGCTCTACCAGAAGTCTGCAAACAAACTGCTGGCGTACTTGTATGCTGCTCATGCTGGCACTGGAGGTAAGGCACAAGACATGGAGGAGATTAAATGAATTATCCACTACTATACTACACTGAAGTGACATAAACAAAGTGATGAAAACTGATTAAATTTAAAGCTCAAATGGTTGCAATTTGCAATCCACAATACAAAAAAAAAAGTTTTTGTTTTTGACCTGGAACGATAATGACAACTTACGTTAAGAGACACTGAATACAATTTATTGCAATGTTATTACTTCTCTATGCAGCCGAGGCTGGTGGCAGCAAGAAGGCTGGTAAGAAGAAGGGTGGTTCCTTCCAGACTGTGTCTGCTCTTTTCAGAGTACGTATTTTTTTCATCAAGATTTATAAATGTTTTATCAAAAGCCATAGATTGACACACCATTAACCAGTATTCTATGTTCCACAGGAGAACTTGGGCAAACTGATGAGCAACTTGAGGAGCACTCACCCTCACTTTGTACGTTGCCTGATTCCCAATGAAACAAAGACCCCAGGTATGAAGGACATCATCATATCTATTTCTTTACACGTCACTTTACAAAACAAGTCAACATCTTACACATGTATTTATTTTAACACTCAGGTCTTATGGAGAACCCCCTGGTCATCCACCAGCTGAGGTGTAACGGTGTGCTGGAAGGTATCAGAATCTGCAGAAAGGGCTTCCCCAGCAGAATCCTCTACGGTGACTTCAAGCAGAGGTGCAGGCAGTTTCCTTATTCATAGGCAATTTGGTTACAGTAAAAGTGTTATAAGGGTGAAGTATTAGTAGTCGAAGTAGAGTAAGATAAATAACACAGTTTTCTGTTATAGATACAAAGTACTGAATGCCAGTGTCATCCCAGAGGGACAGTTTATTGACAACAAGAAAGCTTCAGAGAAGCTGCTTGGCTCCATTGATGTGGATCACACTCAGTACAAGTTTGGTCACACAAAGGTACAACGACAGAAATTACTTATTTGTCCTGATATAATTGTGTCAAGAATTCAAAACGTTTGTCCAGGCCTGATTCCTTTGATTTGACAACACAGGTGTTCTTCAAAGCTGGTCTGCTGGGTACCCTGGAGGAGATGAGAGATGAGAAACTGGCTGAGCTGGTGACCATGACTCAGGCCCTCTGCAGAGGATATGTCATGAGGAAGGAGTTTGTTAAGATGATGGAGAGGAGGTAATATCCTAACATCTTCTTTAATGCTTGTCCTTAGCCACGCCCTGAAACTGTTGCATTTTTGGCTGTTTTAATTCTTCAGAGAGTCCATCTACTCCATCCAGTACAACATCCGTTCATTCATGAATGTCAAAAATTGGCCATGGTTGAAACTGTACTTCAAGATCAAGCCTCTTCTGAAGAGTGCAGAGACTGAGAAGGAAATGGCTCAGATGAAGGAGAACTTTGAGAAGATGCAGACAGACCTGACTACTGCCCTGGCCAAGAAGAAGGAACTGGAGGAGAAGATGGTGTCCCTCATGCAGGAGAAGAATGACCTGCAACTTCAAGTGGCTTCTGTGAGTAGTTTTTTAAATGTCTATGTTGTGTACTTGATTGTGTAAAGACAACAAATCAAAAAATATACATGTTATATTTAATATTTCCAATATCCCACAGGAAGTTGAGAATCTCTCTGATGCTGAGGAAAGGTGTGAAGGACTCATTAAGAGCAAGATCCAGATGGAGGCTAAACTCAAAGAGACAACTGAGAGACTGGAGGATGAAGAGGAAATCAATGCTGAGCTGACTGCAAAGAAGAGGAAGCTGGAGGATGAATGCTCTGAGCTGAAGAAGGACATTGACGACTTGGAGCTCACCTTGGCTAAAGTGGAGAAGGAGAAACATGCCACAGAAAACAAGGTTTTTGAAATTGTTCTTCAAATTTGATGCTTTGTACCTGGTTGAAAAGAGCATTCTTTAAACAAATGTTTATTAATTTCCAGGTGAAAAACCTGACAGAAGAGATGGCATCTCAAGATGAGACCATTGCCAAGTTGACCAAGGAAAAGAAAGCTCTCCAAGAGGCACACCAGCAAACCCTTGATGATCTCCAGGCAGAGGAAGACAAAGTCAACACTCTGACCAAGTCTAAGACCAAGCTTGAGCAGCAAGTGGATGATGTGAGTTGTCATATTTAACACAAATTACAAATATATACAAGACAATTATAAATGTTACTGGACAAGTTAAAAAAAAATCTTACAACCAACTGTCATTTTCTAGCTTGAAGGATCTCTGGAGCAAGAGAAGAAGCTCCGCATGGATCTTGAGAGAGCCAAGAGAAAGCTTGAAGGAGATCTGAAACTGGCCCAGGAATCCATTATGGATCTGGAGAATGACAAGCAGCAGTCAGAGGAGAAAATCAAGAAGTACGTCTTTGTTTTAGCTAGTTAGCCTTTTCCTAGTAACTCACCAACTCACCAGTGACACATTTTTATTTCAGGAAGGACTTTGAGACCAGTCAGCTCCTGAGCAAGATTGAGGATGAACAGTCTCTTGGTGCTCAGCTTCAAAAGAAGATCAAGGAACTCCAGGTAACAAGGTTGATTTACAATTAATCTTTTAAAAACCTTACCCTTGTGTTAGAGAGTTTTCTTGATGCCACTTTCATTATTTTAGGCCCGCATTGAGGAGCTGGAAGAGGAGATTGAGGCTGAGAGAGCTGCTCGGGCCAAGGGTGAGAAGCAGAGGGCTGACCTCTCCAGGGAGCTGGAGGAGATCAGTGAGAGGCTTGAGGAAGCTGGTGGAGCAACAGCCGCTCAGATTGAGATGAACAAGAAGCGTGAGGCTGAGTTCCAGAAGCTGCGTCGTGATCTTGAAGAGGCAACCCTTCAGCATGAAGCTACTGCAGCAGCTCTTCGCAAGAAGCAGGCTGACAGTGTTGCTGAGTTGGGTGAGCAGATCGACAACCTCCAGCGTGTCAAGCAGAAGTTAGAGAAGGAGAAGAGCGAGTACAAGATGGAAATCGATGACCTCAGCAGCAACATGGAGTCTGTGGCCAAGGCTAAGGTAATCAGTGTTTTTACACCAAAAAACTGAACACATTTTAATAAATGTTTCTATTATTATCTTGCATTATCAATAACCATTTCACTTGCAGGCTAATCTGGAGAAACTGTGCAGAACAATAGAAGACCAATTGAGTGAAATCAAGTCAAAAAATGATGAGAATGTTCGTCAGCTCAATGATATAAGTGCACAGAGGGCCAGACTTCAAACAGAGAATGGTTTGTATACGACACACTTTCATTTCTAGAACTAAATTTGTACAGTTTCCATACCCAGCAATGTGACTCACTTAGTTTATTTACACTTCTTTCACCGCTTTGTTCTGTTATCAGTTCATACAGCATGTGTCTCTGGCATACTTGTTTATATTATGAGCAAAAGTATATGCCTACATATAGCAATTGTGTCTGTTACGGTAACTGGTACGTAGACAATGGCACATAAGCCCTCATAGTTAAAATGAATTTCTTCAGATATTTTTGGTAGTTCTGTGATGAAAAAAAAAGTGTGCAAATCTTTTTTATGTTTTTGACTAGGTGAGTTTACACGCCAAGTTGAGGAGAAGGAGGCCCTTGTTTCCCAGCTGACCAGAGGCAAACAGGCTTACACTCAGCAGATTGAGGAGCTGAAGAGGCACATTGAGGAAGAAGTGAAGGTACACTAAAACCATTCGTTACTCATGTTCTAATGCAATGTGCTCATTTATCTGACATCATTTATTGTTTACATCAGGCATGGCTGTTGTATTTTTTACAAAAAATCCTCTGTATTCATTTATTATTCAATGTATCTGTGTTAGGGTTACAATTTCACTCTGTCAAATTGTATATTGCAAAACGTGACAAGGAAAGATTCAGCAAGGCATCTGTGCCACGCACAACTACCATGCTTTCTACATGTTTAATTTTAAATATGAGCTGAGTAACTGTTAGACACCAACTGCTAAATAACAGAATGTGGCTTTTTTTTTAAGGTTAGCAGCTGTAATGTGACGTAGTGTTTTGGGGGGTTTTTTGTTAATTTTTTAACAATCAATTTCCTGTTCGAAAAAGCTGTGTAGTGTAACGCTCTCTTGCTGTGTACGATCCATTCTTAGGCCAAGAATGCCCTGGCCCATGCAGTTCAGTCTTCCCGCCATGACTGTGATCTGCTCAGAGAGCAGTTTGAGGAGGAGCAGGAGGCCAAGGCTGAGCTTCAAAGAGGAATGTCCAAGGCCAACAGCGAGGTGGCTCAGTGGAGAAGCAAATATGAGACTGATGCCATCCAGCGCACTGAGGAGCTGGAGGAGGCCAAGTACATATATATGTTTTAACATATATATGTATATATATTACACCATATTTGCAAGCTTTGATAAAATCACATCTTTCTTAATTATAGGAAAAAGCTTGCCCAGCGTCTCCAGGAAGCTGAAGAATCCATTGAGGCTGTTAACTCCAAGTGTGCCTCTCTGGAGAAGACCAAGCAGAGGCTGCAGGGTGAGGTTGAGGACCTCATGATTGATGTGGAGAGAGCTAATGCTCTGGCTGCTAACCTTGACAAGAAACAGAGGAACTTCGACAAGGTAATATGAGTATGTTGTAAAACATTTCCAACTTTACAATCATTGAAGAAAATGGTTTGTAGCAGTTCATATGTATTTTCCCAATATGCCAATTAAGGTCCTTGCAGAGTGGAAGCAGAAGTATGAGGAAAGCCAGTCAGAGCTGGAAGGAGCCCAGAAGGAGGCCCGCTCTCTGAGCACTGAGCTGTTCAAGATGAAGAACTCCTATGAGGAAGCTCTGGATCATCTGGAGACCATGAAGAGGGAGAACAAGAACCTTCAACGTACGTCAACAAACACTGAATGCAAATGAGGACGATAATTAGATCTTAAGAGTCAAACATTTGTATTCTTCTCTGCAGAGGAGATCTCAGACCTAACAGAACAGATTGGTGAGACTGGTAAGAGTATCCACGAGCTGGAAAAGGCTAAGAAGGCTGTTGAAAGTGAGAAGTCTGAAATTCAGACTGCTCTAGAGGAGGCTGAGGTATTTCTTATTTATTGACAACAAATTTGATCAATGATTAGTGAAACATTATATCATTGAACTTGGTTTTAAACCTTACTTCGAAGGGCACACTGGAGCACGAGGAATCCAAGATCCTCCGTGTTCAGCTTGAGCTCAACCAGGTCAAAGGAGAAGTTGACAGGAAGCTGGCAGAGAAGGATGAGGAAATGGAGCAGATCAAGAGGAACAGCCAGAGAGTGATTGACTCCATGCAGACTACTCTTGATGCTGAGGTCAGGAGCAGGAATGTCAAGAAGAAGATGGAGGGAGACCTGAATGAAATGGAGATTCAGCTGAGCCATGCCAACAGGCAGGCTGCTGAGGCCCAGAAACAGCTGAGGAACGTCCAGGGACAACTCAAGGTCCGTTTTGTCTGACAATTTGACTGTGATGAAAATATTGAGCCAACAGAGTTAACTGTTTTTTTTTTCTGTTTATCTTCAGGATGCCCAGCTTCACCTGGACGATGCTCTCAGAGGACAGGAAGACATGAAGGAGCAGGTTGCTATGGTGGAGCGCAGAAATGGTCTGATGCTGGCTGAGATCGAGGAGCTGAGAGCTGCTCTGGAGCAGACAGAAAGAGGCCGCAAAGTGGCCGAGCAGGAGCTGGTTGATGCCAGTGAGCGTGTCGGCCTTCTGCACTCTCAGGTTTGTTCATGCATCATTTAAAAATGTATTGGAATAAATTTATAATCAGTTAGTTACTTGAATTTTCTTAAAACTTTAGAACACAAGCCTTCTGAATACAAAGAAGAAGCTGGAAGGTGATCTGGTGCAGATTCAGAGTGAGGTGGATGACTGTGTCCAGGAAGCAAGGAATGCTGAGGACAAAGCTAAAAAGGCCATCACTGATGTTCGTCTACATTTCTTTTTTTGCCTTAATAATACAGTCTAGCACTTTTTATACTTTAGGGATGGAAATATTATGAATAATTAAGATTCAGCCTGTCATGATAGGCTGCCATGATGGCTGAGGAGCTGAAGAAAGAGCAGGACACCAGTGCTCACTTGGAGAGGATGAAGAAGAACCTGGAGGTCACAGTGAAGGACCTGCAGCACCGTCTGGATGAGGCTGAGAACCTCGCCATGAAGGGTGGCAAGAAGCAGCTCCAGAAACTGGAGTCCAGGGTATGAACTGTATAAAACTCCCTTACAATTGTTCTGCACTGGATGTTTCATTTTATACCAACAGTATACATTTATGTATAATTCTGTACAATCACAGGTGCGTGAGCTGGAGTCTGAAGTCGAGGCTGAGCAGAGACGTGGAGCTGATGCTGTTAAGGGAGTCCGCAAATATGAGAGGAGAGTGAAGGAGCTGACCTACCAGGTAATACATGTTTGTTTTTAGCCCACTATAGAACAACCATAATAAATGAGATCCTACTTCAGCACTATTGGGATAACAAATTGCTTCCTCTACAGACTGAGGAGGACAAGAAAAATGTGTCCAGACTTCAGGACCTTGTTGACAAGCTGCAGCTCAAAGTCAAGGCTTACAAGAGACAGGCGGAGGAGGCTGTGAGTTCACTAAATTACATGAATAATCATTCAGGACTGAACGTACAGCGACGTCACCATGTATTAATGAATGCCAATCATACTCATAATCAGGAGGAGCATGCCAACACTCACATGTCAAGGCTCAGGAAGGTGCAGCATGAGCTGGAAGAGGCTCAGGAGCGTGCTGACATTGCTGAGTCCCAGGTCAACAAGCTGAGAGCCAAGAGCCGTGATGTTGGAAAGGTAACATTTTTATTAAATTTAACAGCATCCAGTATCAAGGTTCAGTTGCTTCAGTGAATATCACTGTTATATAGGGTGTAAAAACCATTATCTAAGTACACATTTACTCTCTTAATTTCAGGGAAGTGACTCCGCTGAGTGACGCGCAGCTGATGGACGTGAGGCCTTTTAACCGTGTTCATATAATATGAGCACCTGAGAGCTCCCTTCTGTAAATCGACAATAAACATTTAAAACTATTCATGGGGACTGTTTTTCTTTTAATGGAAATTCATGACATTGAACTACAACATTAATATTAATTTTAACTTTTATTATTCAACATTGCTAAGAAGAAAAAAGCCAATTTGTAATTGTTATTTTTGTCATTTGCATTTTACTATTACAGTGCTTTTGCTTTTAAAAAATAATACTCACTGACGTATACACACTGTAAACACATTTTAAATGCTTCTACCAAAAAGGGGAGAAATAACTGGGGAAAATGTGACTAATATTCAAAAATTAAATAAAAACAGAATAATTTAAACTAATTTTCCTGTAAGAGCTACTCATTATGTACAAGTGCCACCTGAAAAAGGTTCATGATAATGTTTTGCTCTTTAAAATACCACCAAATGAACCAATGTATTCACAATATTATGATATAATATTGATTTTTATTTATTGCCGCCATTCTTCCTATCTTTCTTTCCACCTCCTTTTCCTTTATCTTGTTCAATTTTTTCCTTCCCCTTGCCAGGGTCTTTTTTACACTTTTGTCCTCCGTGAGCCATCACATTCTGTAAATGAGCTGTATGTATCTTCTCAATCAGAGAGAAGCAGTCTTCATCTGGAGTAAAAGGGCTGCTCACAAGTGTCCTGTGCTCATGTGGGCTTGGAGTGGCAGGAGAGGCATTTCTAGTTGTAACTGTGTTTGGAGATGAGGGTCCAGAACGAGACCCCTTAGGACTTGCGTGGCTCGGAGAGTGGTGTTTTGACTTAAAGTCCTCTTTAGGGACAAGATTTAAGTTTAGGGACAGAGGTCTGCAAGGTGCTTGGCTCAAGGGAATCACAAAATGATCTCCTGGGGCTCCAAGAGTGAGGTAGACTTCTGGGAATGAACATGGTTGATCAGCGCTCTCTTGTGCCTTTGGCAGAGAACGGGTCAAATAAGCATTACTCAACACATGACAATAACCAATAACTGGACCTGAGTAGAATTACAGCTTACCTGTTGTGGTGTAAAACTGAATGATAACTGCAATGTTACCTATAAAAACAAGTTATTTAAATCACACAGTTTCTTTCTGTACAATAGTTACAGGCTATAAATAAAAACTTGAATCCTAATGTGTTTTCACTATATCTTCTAAATAAAAGTTTTGAAAACAGATCCTTATCTGTTTATGTCAGTTAAAATGTAAACAATGTAGACTCAAAGTTACATGACAAAAGACACAGTTACAGGTTTGATGAAGTTATAATTTTACCTGTCCTGGAGATTTAGGATTCTTCTGATAATCTGTTCCTGGACTAAATGAAGCAGATTTTGGCAAGATTTTTTGAGAGCAGACGACGGGTCGACTCTTCCTCGGTGAAGTTGGTGTACTTTCAGCCACAGTGATGACTGGTGGACAAGCCTGGGCGAAAATAAAAACATTTTTGTATTAGAAAGCAAATATAGATGAGACCATAGTTTCATTTAAAGAATTTAAGGTTACACTAGCTGTTCTTAAAATATTCTAGGCCAGGCCACTTAAAGTACAATTTCCTTTGCGTGACTCACAGAGGCTGCAGCTTTTGAGTTTCCTTTCGCTCCTGAACTCACACCAATTCCTGGCAACGTAGAAAGGGACACGCGTTGATCATCTAGCCGTTTTGCCTGACTTGAGGCAATGACTTTGAACAATGCATCCGCCTCTGCACCTGTTACAGAAACTCATGAGTTACAACAGAGACACGTCCCCGGCAGAGAACACACGTGTGCATTCTGACCTGCTGTTTCATTGTTTAAAGCATGTCTTGCGTGCATGGGCGTGGCGGGTGTACTTCTACTGGTCTGTAAGGAGCAACGCTGCTCGTCCATACGTCCACTTTGTGCATGGCTAATCATTTTGAGAAACTGTTCCTGCTCTGTTGGGGAAGCTTCCTAAAAGTTGAAAAAGGGAGAGACAAAAAAAACTGTGAAAACTTGTACAAGCACACAGAACTATAGTATAATCCAGGGGTGACCAGCAATATTTGTCAGAGGGCCTGATTTCTTTGATCCTCACTGGATCGGATAGCTCGGTGGACTGGATTCTGCCTGCAGGCCACCAGTTGGTGGTCACTGGTACAAGCTACGCACCGAACAGTATGACATCTCACCTGTCGAGGTTTGTCAGGATTGTCCTTGTTAAAGGACAGAGACCTTCGTGGAGCTGTATCAGATGAGTCTGCACTAGTTTGGTCTTTGAGCTGAGCAGATGTGCTCCCAGCATTCCTCATGGTTTGGGGCACAGAGCATCTCTGTTCATCCATCCGTGACCCCTGTGGGAAAAAAATGAAACTCATTCCAGTGCTATAGTGGTCTATTGTTTTCTTTTGTACAACACGCCAAGATAAAGGAGACAGTTTCAACATCACATGGTATGGTAGAACTGATGTTGATGTTACATTGACCAGTGGTTCTCCAACGTTTTCTACTCTGTACCACCTGAGAAAACATCTCTCTGAGCTCTCTGAGTACCACCATGATGATCAACAGTAGAATATAGCAGCAGAGGCCTTCCCTATTAGCTTCCACCACAGGAGAGATGTTTGGAAATGTTTAGAAAGATGTTTATGTTTAAATGTTGTATTAATTGTGCATGGTATGTTTCAGATTTATTTAATTGAAAATGTAAATGTGAAAATATATAATATTTTCCCCGCGTACCACCAGCGAGCACTCGCATACCACAGTTTGAGAAACACTAAGATAGACAATTCTGTTAACAGCTACATGATTCCCATTGGCTAAAGGCTTCATAGCTGACTATGGGTGTCAGACTGTGTTTTAACACAGAGCTTTTTACCAACCTGGACTTTTGAGACCATGTAACATAAGTAGCTTGCATCTGCATTGTTTGATGTTGATGTTGAACCTCCATTCTGTATCCCAGGTAAGGTAACGAGAGACACACGCTGATCATCAAGCCGTCTGCCTTGACAGTTTTCAAGCATTGTGAAAAATGTCTCAGAACCAGGTCCTGGAGCAACAGAAACAATGACAGAGATTTGAAATGACTCTACTTCATAAAAATATAAAGGGCATACATGTTAGGATTCGTACCTGTGGGAACGGTGCTCCAACCAGGTTTGTGTTTGGGGGTGGACTGTGGACTGGCCATTAAGACACATCGCTGCTCATCCATTCGACTGCGCTGGGACTGGCTGACTAAGTTAAAAAAATCCTCCCGTTCATCTGGCAACAAACCCTAGATATCACGATTACAGTACATCTTATTAACAAAAAAAAAAGGTTTGCTCCAGTAACAATTATATAAAACACTTACCTCTTTTGGAGGAGTTTTATTCTTACTCTTCGGTCGCTCTATATTTGAGCTGGGACTGAAAGAGGCCGAACGTGTCGAGGATGAATCAGACAACGGTTTGATTTTTTCCGGTGAGGTCAGGGTGTCTTTGGTTGGGAGTTGAGGCATCGAGCACCTTTGGTCATCAATTCTGGAACCCTTCAATACAGTCCATAGAATGGGTTTTGGTATAAGTGTCACGTTGTCTTTTAAAAAAGACAGATTAGAGAAGCAGTCCATAGCTAAATACACAAAAATGACATCTAGTTGTTCAAGAAATAATATTGTTGTCTAGAAAAGGTAGCTTTGTTTTGGGTTACATTAAATGTCTTACATATAAACGGTAAACATTTTATTGCTTGTTTGTTCTCAGTAATATTACTGACTTGGACTTTAGAGACCATGTAACATAGATAGCTCGAATCTGTCACTGCAGGTGATGAGGCGTTTTCCTTCTGTAACCCTGGTACAGACGGAAGAGACACCCGCTGGTCATCCAGCCGTTGGCTCTGCGTGTTGGCCAAAAGATTGAAAAACAGTTCAGAATCTGGACCTAAGAAAGTCAATCATAAAAAGAAATTATGTGAAATACCCTGAAAGTATGAGGCAAATTCTTTACATTTCAGGAAATGTTTCAAAAATAAAAATTTGAAAAAAGACATGAAATCACCTGGGTTTTCAGACACTTTTCTTTCCCTGTTGTTTGGTGTACACGGAGCACTTCTACTGTTGGGTTTCAACGAACAGCGTTGATCTTCCATGCGCCCTCGCTGACCGTGGCGGATCGTGTTGATTAACTTTTGTTGTTTATCGGCTAATTCTTCCTGTTGCACAAGACAAGGTCACAATAAATTTAAAAACCCTGTCAACAGAAAAGTGATTGAAACAGTTTGAACAACAGATAGAACAAACCTTCATGGACTCGGAGCAGTCGTACTCCGAAGGAACCTGGAGTTTGTTGACTGTTAACACAAGCTTCCTGGTTCTGTCAGGAGTACTTTCCGTTACAGAGATGTGTGGGGCAGAACCGTGGTGCACATCGCTGTTGGGTTCCTGAAAATTAAATTGAATTAGACATTGTTGAAACTTTCCCCATAAAACCTGTGAAGGGTCAACTTGTGCACTCTTACCTGATGGTTAGCTGGTGGTGGTGCCAAGCTCATGTCTTCAAGGCATTGTTCCTTACTATCCGGTGTTTGGGATCTTCCTTCCAGCAATTCCTGGAGAATATTAGGCAAAATAGTAACGTGTGTCAACTCTAACAACTTGTGTATTTTCTTGACAAAAAAAGAAAAGATAATAATAATCAGTATCTTTTCATTTTCTTAATTGGAATGAAAATATCTAAAAGCATTGAAAATATTCCATTCAAATAATAATAAAAACAACAATGTTAATAAAATGTTAGGTAAAGCTTTTGAATTTTGAACTACTTACCATCATGGCGAGGTTCACTTCCAACTGTGAATCCGTAGCATCCATCATACATTATACATTTTTTTATAGTCTCAATGTTTGCCCACATATAAAATAAAACAAATCTTGAATGAAGACTCAGAAAAGTACTCCTGCTATTAAACCCCCCAAAACAAAACAGTTTTGTTGCAGAGCTACTACTGCATCTCTCAGTGTAAAATAGTCCAATACATGCTGCATCAAATGCCTCCAGCACATGGCTTGGCAAACGGCTTTTAAATGGAGCTAAGTCCTAAGTATTAACCCATTGCCATTAGGACCCCAGCCAGTGTTTGTGAATTTTACCATCTGTAATCCCAGATGAAAACATAATCTGTCACATGTAGAGGGATCATCTCTTCTACTGATCGGTGCTCATTTTCTGTCTTATGGATTTGACACTTTGCTTGAAGGCCCATCGCTAAATAAACCATGCAGTAAATCCCTGCTTTTATTGACAAAGAAATGAAAGAGCAAGTTACACTGAACTTAAAAAAAATGGAAATTATGAATGAAGAATTTAACACATCCATTTACTGGTGTAAGTAGACTTTCAACATTAGATTTATTCAATGTTTTGATGATCTTTCCTGAACTTTTTTCCTGTTAAAATAAAACACAAGACTTTTTGAAAATTAATTTCAATTTTCTTTAATTTCCAACCAACCAACCACTTCCTCCCCGAAATATAATAGCATACATAGTGAAAGTGCAAGGTAGCGCGAACAGCAGTTGAGACAATTTCTCTGTTGTTATATTTCTAAGATAAAGAGGAACAAAACAATGTCACGACCCCTACTGACCTATGTTTATCATTTCACGAGAATGAGAGTTCGAGTGAGATGATTAATATTATGGAATTCACGCAATTCTGAGTATAAAATGTGACAAATTAAATACACAGTAGCAAAAATAAGGATTTGAAGGTCAACAATTCAGCAATCATAATAATATCAATATTGTTTTTTATATTTTATTACAATTGTAATCATAGCGGTCTACAGATCAGAGGTTTACGAAAACAATAAAATATAATGTTCTAAAATAAGAAAGAATCACACGTGTTTCTCTCCATACCTACATATAAACGGTTCTCTACATGTTTCACTTCAAATGTCAAAGATTCATTGATTTTAAATAAACAACTAAACCCTTTATTCCAGTGTGCTACTCCCTGTTGAGTGTCTAACCATTTAACAGTCAGGGTTAGGAACCTGGTCAAGGCTCTTCAGGTCATCAAGGAAGTTGGTGGGAGTCAGGATGTGAGAGGACCCTGTTGAAAAAAACTTAAATCAAGGACATTTTATCCAACAGCATTAGAGTGTATGAGCTCTGGACTCTTCAGTGACGATCACTTACCAATCAGCACTTCCCATTTTCCTTGAGTTGCTCTGGTGAGTTCATAGGCGGAGCGCATCTCAGAGTGTGACACTCCACCAATCACAAAGACGATGAGCCGGGGGCCAGTGCGATATTCTGTGGGTGCTTTATTTTTGTGCCAGTGCCCAAAACGTGCACTGCTGTAAGAGAATTACAAATACAGTTCAGCAGCAAATACACAAGCTGTGGTCTGTTTTTTTAATAGCTCAAACAAGTTTCATTGACTTATTTTGTTTTTCCAAGAAAACATTGAAATAGAAATGATGATGTGAATCCCTGATACAATCCTATTGCAGTGTATTATAATATTAATTATTATAGGTCTCTGCTAAGAATCTGAGCCATTACATTTATGCCTAGACATGCAAATTGTTTTCAGCCCAATTAACAGCTTAGCCTACCACCCGATTCAGGTTTAAACATACAACCAGCCCATTCAAATAGCAGCTTGAGGACCACGTGTAGCCTACACAGACCTCAAAGAGGTCCATACTGTGGACCATCACCATTGTTGAGTAACTGAAAATGTCTCCAGTACAACAGACCAAGAATGCAATACTCTCCATAGCCTAGAATAATACAATGCACAATGCATCACTGTATTTCGAAGTGCTAGAAGCTTCTTAGACAGCAACATGTCCCTTTAAAAGCAACAGAAAAATAATAGAAATAAATACTTGTTTATTTTGCCACAAACTTCTGGCTGATGTGATTTAATTTGCAATGGGTTCAGCTATGGAAAACAAAAATTGGTTTTTCAATTAAATGTCTGTTTTTTTCACTAACTATATTTACAAATGAATAGCCCTAGACTCTTCGCAATATAAAAATAGCAATTGTCCATTAGATAGATTATGGCTAAACCCAGTTCCATCAGTGGCGCGTCCTACAAGGGATTAAAAAGTATTTAAAAAATGATCTTCATTTCACCTTTTTACCTCCAGCCAAAAATTACACCAAATGCTTTTACTACAATACTTTAATTCTGTGTTTCTCCGCCACAGGAAGCCATTGCAGGTGGAGGTTCTGCTAAGCAAATTAATTTAAATATCAATATCTTTTTCATTTGTTCGATTGAGGGGCGACTGCACTTGGTTCCTTCCTCCCTTGGTTCATTGAGAAAAGCATTTTGTGTTTTTAAAAACTTGACACGAAGCTGAAGTGTAATAGAAATAGAAGTTCCAGCACAAACCTGACTGTAGTCTGGGTCGTGTTAATGGGAGCAGGGTCAGAGATGAACGGCCATTGCTTCCTGTCCAATTTGTCTTCTATGGCATTCTACAAGTGAAAGACAAGAATTGATAAGGACGGAAACTGGGCAGACGAGTGGCCGTGAAAACGACCTGCAAAAATGTTCCTGGCCTTTCTACCTCCATGACATCCTTGAGGATGGGCGTCCATCTAGAGAGCTCGTATGTGCTTTCTGTACGCTCTCTTCTTTCTGGCAGTGTTTTCCCGGCGTTGCGACCCTAGCAAAATACAGGGCTAACAATTTGAAGGCAGTACATTCAAAGTACATACAATTCATTATTCTTCAGCAAATTTACCCCAGATATAATATTACAGCCCAGGTTCTGCAGGTTGGTTATGATGTTGCTCTCTGGCTGAATGTTAGCGTGCTGGATGAGCTTTAAGAGGTTCTCCTCTCCAATTCCTACATGAATAAGAAGATTTGTTGTTATGTTATGACCGTCCTGCCACAACTCGTAGTCTCCTCTGCCGGTGTAAATTCTGTCAGCAGTTTGAGTTGCACATGGCCACTCCAGACATGCAGTTGTTGGCAGGAAGACCATGGCAAATTGAATTTGACACTGGAGACACTGAGGGTATCTGTTCAGCCTAGAGATTTGCCCTGGCCGATGATGTCATCATAACTGCTAGCACAAAATCATGATGACAGGGGTGTGGAGCAAAGCCCAGACCTCAGAAAATAACACTCACACTTTGTCAGTCATTGAGATTCACACTTGTAAGGTGGGTCCCACCCTTGTTTACTCGCCTACTAAAATTGTGAAGACAAAGAATTCTTTAACTCTACCTATTAACTTGGTCACTAGCAACAAGAAGAGGAATATGGTATGTGCAACACAATAAAGAACATTGTATTTTAATAGATTGTGTACAGATAGAGACCACACCTTTTTTCTTGTGGAAAATGTACAGCAATATAATGCGGATTTTGTCGTAGGCCTGGATTTCTTTGTCCAGGAGAACAGGAACGATGCTCTTCATTGGATCTTTGAGAGCTTCTCCCTGTGCGTTAGTTCCCATTGCCAGGTCCTGTAGAGGATACTCACAGTTAGAACATCATTTTGGCTTTGATGAGTTTCAGGGTCCAGCTATAGTCACAAATACCTTAAACCCTTTGTCCTCTAAGTAAGGTTTGTAGTTGCACTGAATTACACCTACAACCAGTTTAATAGGCTTAACAAATCCTATGAAAATGATTTGGGGTTTTATACTTACTACGTATTTGATCAAGGGATTTTCATTTTTGTCAATCCAAGTCAGGTGTGCTCTCCTTGTATTTCTTGCTAGACTTCCTCACAAATGTATTTATTTATCTAAATCATGTCAGGAAAGGTGACCAGTGCCAACAGGGTGCAGAGGGTTACAGCAGATCATTTAGTTCACAAAGCAACACAAACAAATTGGTCTTTGGTTTCCCTAACAATGTAGAGCACTTGAAACAAGGCAGTGCTGACAGGAGTGTGGCAATTGTTTGGATCAGTGTCTCTGCTGGAGCCAAAAAATAGCTCTGGGATTAAAAAGGCAGCTTTCAGACATGCTGGAACTCCATTAGTGCTTTCACTGGCACAAAAAGCCCCATTAACACTTGTGTTTATAATGCCACAACCATTCATTGCTTCCGGTTTACTTAAGACTATGTAAAGCACGGCACGTCCTCTGAAGGAGACAAACGACAACTGTCACATGAAGACAACATACAAGGACTGTGCACCATTTTGTGCTTGGACTTTATCCAAGTGTGTGCTGATGGAAGGATTTCTACGTCACATCACATGTACGTGTTACTGAAATGCCTTTACACTTATTAATGATATAACAGCTTCTTCTGCGTCCCTGTGGAGATACAGATGTTGACATCCGACGCCAAGCCTCTTATGTAATATTACGATTACTATTCTCCATTAAATAAATACTAGACCGTGTTAGTGGCATAAATAAAGACACCATCACATCAGGGTCACTTAGTTGTGGTCTGAGTGAAATGCAGTGATTCCATGACAGATATTCTCTAAATGGTACTTAACCTCAGTGGTTAACACAGTAGAGAACTACAGATGATCCCTTGTAATTAAAAAAAAAAAAAAGACCTAAGGGCCGTTTACCTCAATTTATAAAAAGACCCACGAATATGAACTTGTTTATTTTTTTATCATAAATATAATTCTTTTAGGACATGTTAGCATCACTAATGTCAGCTGTACAGTAAAGATGAGAACTGACCTGTTCTACTGCACACAGCTTATCAAGAGAGACCTTAAATTTGTTCATACAAGCTTCAGCGAGGTGCAAGTGAGTCGAGTACTGTAAAGGTGGAAAGAAAACAGAAAGAGATAGTACTTTTTTTTAACTCAGTTAAGACTCTTTGTTAAAATTATATAATTATTATTTTATATTGTATAAAATAGTTTTCACTCACCATGCTGAGCTCTTTCTGATACTGAGGCATTTTCTTTAACATCTGAGATAGATCTTTGATGTTAGCCTAAAATTTAAATAATTGTAGTAAATAAATATATAATCACACAAAGATAAAGTATAACCATTGTAAAAGGGGAGAAATTATGAATGGGCGTTAGTCCTCACATTGTCTGTGCACATTCTCTTACTCTCACAAAAGGTACGGAGCAGCTCAGTCACTTTCCTGCAACAAAACATTAAAAAAGAAAATCAGTCAAAATGTTGATGGTTTTTGTAGGTGCACAACAAGTGAGTAATACCAACATACTAATGCACTAGAACCAGACTCACTTGGTGACATCTGCGATGTGCATATGTCTGAGCTGAACCCAAAGCTCATCATCTTCATCCAGCAACACTTCTCTGTCTTTTGAATTCCCAATGCCTGTTGTTTGGTACCTTTAACAGAAGAGAAAATATGAACTCAGCAAAAACAGAAGCGGTCTTACTGCATGGACAAAGTCCTTCAGTCCTTTGGTTGTAGAAAAAAAAAAAAAAAAGATTTGTTCTATACGTTCACTCACGTATAGATGTCCTGTTTGATATCTAGCAAGTCATAGACCATGGCCTGGAAAGTCAGCTCATGTAGAATTGGCGAGATGGGATCAAATCCACGATCGACAATCAGAAGCTGTGATCTTGCCTTATCTGCACCCTGGAACCATTCATTTAAAAAAAACTGTCATCCAGTGGTTCAAGATCAAATTCAAAGACAAAGAGAATTACTTGTATAGTGTGCATTAAATAATTGTCCTGTTTTAGACTGATGATTTGCCATGCTGTAAGGTTTTCAGTACAGTTATAGGTGCTTGGGGCTGTGAATGACAACAGCAATACCTGCCTGTAAAGAGTCATCTCAGGAGCAAGGAAATGTCAGCTGAGAAAGAAAGACCAGTTGGAAAGAGACAAAGATGAAGCAAAGCGTAAGAAAACAACCCACAGAAATGTGAAGCAAGAAAACACTTAGCATAGAAAAGCGGTCTCGCTTATACAACGTGATTGATTTGAACAGGTGTGGTTTGTTGTGAGAATGTAGAATGTTCTAGGAATGATCAAATTACACAGTATGTATGTTGAGCTATGTGGCTTTTGTGGGCAGATGTGTTTTAGGTTTATTTTTCTATAGATAAAGTTTCTGTTAGTCTTTGAAAGGCATTAAGAAAGATGACACTTCGTTAATCCACAAAAGGTACAGCAAAGATGTAAAAAATAAAAATAAAAAAACAAATAATAATTTAATTAACACTAAGATACAGATCAATTCTACCTCTCCCATGCTTGGGTTGTCAGCTTTGTGGGCAATAAGACGTTGGTGGACCTCTTCAGCCAATCTAGCATTCTCCTCTGAACCTCTACAACACAACATGTCATTTTATATAGTCAGCATATAAATCAGACAGAAATTAATGAAACTGTATAAAAGGTTTTTTTACTTGTAGTAACGGATTGCAGGATACTCTTTAAGAGTGTCGCACAAAGTTGCAATTTGCTCAGCAAGATTTTCCAAGATTTTATTTTTTTCATCATTTGGCTTTGAGCTATAGAAATAGTAAAAGGAGCTTGGGTTATCCAGGGAATAAACCTGCAGGAGAGAGGGAAACAGAGAATACTTCAAATTTGTCTTTATTATGTAGGCCAAACTCAAGCTGTATACCTGTCCACAACATGAACTACACACAAAGTAATTACAAGCAATATAAAAATATCATGAAAAGTAACCCATCCACAGATTTGACCTTTATTCTTCAGTTTCAAAAAGCTGACTTTTACTGTTTAATGTCCATTTAAACCCTGTGATTCTAAAATGGAGGACAGAGAATTTGTCTACCTCTCCATATTACGATAAGTCTTACAAATGCATTTAAAAAAATAAACAAACATTGATCTAACACACGACAACGAACTATTGAAATTAGTGTGAAACATGTTCAAACCTGAGACTCATAAGGGAGAAAGGCAACATTGACTTCTTTTAAGGTCTTCACAACCTTTGCAACTCTGGATCTTCCAATCTGAGCAAAGAGACCATCTGGACAAGCTGTAGGCAATGATAATGAAGACTGCTATCAAAAACAATACATTTCTGCACTATTTATATAAATACATAAAAAGACAGACAATACAATCTTACTGTCAGTGAAGAAGACATGCACCGCCTTGTAAGTCAGAGCAGAATCTTTGAAGTCATTAATAAGCGCATGAACAGACTGCAATGGAAAAAAGAAAACAAAAATATTCAGTTTAAAGAGACATTTAAAAAAAAAATCCCATTATAGGTGGAACATAGTGGACAAAGCCAAGAGCTGACCTTCTCCACTGGTGAAATCAAATAAATGGCCTCCAAGCTAGAGATGGGCTCCCTACGTTTGTTGATGTCTTCCACAACTGAAAAGACAAAAACAACAAGTAAATATTTTAGAAACACTGCCAGTGTAGGCGTAATGACACTGTAGTCAATATTCAAAGAAAAACATTACTTTTATACACAATGTACCTTTTTGGTAATCAATGTAAAATAATTGCATTAGAAAACACTGCATATTCATTTTAGGATAAACTGAATTTAATTTAGGTAAAATGTGTAAAAATGTAAAATGAGACAAACAGTATGATTACTTGTGTGAGGTTTTTGGATCATACATTCTCTTCAAACTTACTTGTGACACCCTCTGCCAGAATATCAGACATCTTACAGCATGAGGACAGAATTCTCATGCTCATATGATCCACAATAAGAACCTGAAATGAATGAGGTAAAGCGTCATAAATCTTCAAATAAATAACAGTGGTTTTCCTAGGTCCCACTGCAAAAATGTCACCTTCCATTCTCCATCCTTCCTCACACTCTTGATGACTCCATTGAGGATTTCTGTTGGAAAGAAAAAAAATAATCATACGAGATGGCACCCAAGACAAAGAACAGAGCACTGTGTGCATGACAAAAGCTTGTCACACTTCAATGTCACTGTCTATAAAAAGGAAGTGTGAATACTTCAAAAAACGGAAGACCCAAAGCTGTGTTGTCGTCTCTTAAGTTCCTTCTCAAACCTAAACAAACGCACAGCCAATACTTCCGGAGATGTTTTTAAATTTGCTTATTCCTTACCAATCAATTTTCTTCACATATTATACCAAACCAGTGTCACATCTTATAAATAATTGATTGTTTTTATATATTGTTCAACTGCAAATTTAAGATATAAAAAAATCCTAAATAACTAACCCTAAATAATAATAGTATTTTTACAGTTCCATATGGGGATGTAAAACATATGGTTACTTCTATGTAAATAGGCTTCTCCACATTAAAGCAGGCACTGTAGAATCCTGGTCTTTGTGTTTTGTTATGCTTGCTTCTTCCAGTCCCTTCTATGCTTTATTTTGAATTGTCTTGATTTATTGTAGAATAGGCAATGTGCCTCAGTACCAACATGCTTAAGCTATATACTGTACGTATAAAAACGTTTTGAAAGAAAATAATGGTCGGATGTGTGAATGCCATGGAAGGTCAGGGTTTCCAGTATTACCAGTCCACTATCTATTTGAAGTTTCGAGCATTCGAGTCAGGGTGTGTTCTCACCACACACCTACTCTATACCTAACAGACAATGCGCTGTGATTACAATGACATTTAAATATTGAATATACGAGGGCTTGTGTAAGTGACCTACTCTCAGGTATTGTAAAATGATGACAGGTTCTCGTGGTATTATCTTTGTAGCGACGACCCTTCCACATTAGTTAAAGTTAAAACATCTAAGACGTAAATTTGCTTTGTTATCACATACAATAATATAGTTTGTTTACTATTTTGTGTGTTTAAGATTGAAAAAGCATCAAACGTATTTTTATTCTGTAAATGTTAAATAAATCACACAGTGAAAATGTTAATTTCATCGCTTCCTTCTTGGTTAGCTCGCTAACGTTAGCCTCAAAGTAAAAACAATAACACATTGTCACGAGAAGGCCCCTTAGTCGAATTTCGCTCATCATCAAGTGTTCTTTACGAAATACGCCAGGCTTAAACTGCGATTTTAATTAAATTCCGTCCTGATATTACGTATTTAGGTCAGGAAGTGTGACCAGGACAGGAAGAAGTCTTCCGAAAACAATGTACCTGTTTTATTGTTAGCCCCAGTTTGAGAAACTGCTTTAGAGTCGGCCTCCAGTTCATCAAATTTGAGTGTTAGTCAGTAGTATTGTAATGAAAGCAGATCTGTAAAAAGCCCATTGTCACTTACTTTCCCCAACTACCGCTTTCAGTCCAGTCGGTGCCATCTTGACAGCAGGCTAGTTGGACACTTCCTTGTCATATGCTGTATATGATGACAGTCCATTGGTTTGACAGAGAAATACTGCCGCCTACCGTCTAGACAGCCGTTGGGACATCCAAGTAATTAAAAAACATTTGGCATCAGTCTTTTATTTTATTTGTTTATTTTATTTTATTTTATTTATGGTCTGTATTGTCATTGCACCACGGGAATACAACGAAACTGAGCCTCTGCTTTTAACCATCACCAAGGGGAAGCTTGGGCAGCTTTAAGCGAAGACAGTATAACTTAAAATGCATTTAATTACGACCAGCCAAAAGTCCCATTGATATTTATTAAATTAATTTACTTGACTATTAACATATATCAGGAGGAACATGTTTTATTAATTCATTGCATAACTAAATGTTGTTCTGTAATATTATAAGTCTGAAATAGTCCCAAGATAAGTAAAGTTCTAAACCATTCTGAAAAAGAAATACTCTCCAGGTTCTATCGCTGGCTGTCGGACATTTTAATGAGCATTCAAATTCAAGGCCAAATATGCAAGTGTCATTTGATAATCCTTGCGGTAAGATGTCATCTCTTCATTAGGATGGATGAGTAGTTGACTTGTTTATTGCATGTTTAATCAGTACTTCTAATCCATCCAGTCCTTTCAGTGCTTTACTTTCACACCTTCGATAGCACAGATAGCTGTCAAAATCTGGGAAACCTAATATCATATTGAAATTTATCACCTCTAGTTACTGAAGTTATTGGACCACAGCGTAATTTTATGTCAACATCAACTTACTGTGTGTGGTATACTATATAAAATATCATGAGAATAGTGGTGATATCATTTAAAAAACGTGTTTTTCGAGGTTTATTGATGCATTGTTAACTTACTGAAATATAATTTCTGTCTTTGAAATCATTTGTATAGAACCACGTGTACATGGTTCTGATTAAGACACGTGTTCTTACTGCCCCCTGCTGTTTAATGAACTATTTGTAGCAGATGAAATCATGTTGCATAGTTTAAACACAAAGCAAAGAACAAGCATTTACATCTATATAAACCATATATAGATGTATATATTACACATATATAATGTTTTGATATAAAACAGTATTGGTACTGTTTAAATACTAATAAAGTATTGTAATGTAATTTCACAATAGCAGAAAAATACATTTTACATGCAAAAAAATCCATGAATAAACTCAAGTTGTAATTTATTATATGACACAAACAAAATCTGAGTAACTTGGGAGCAAACATAAATACTGATATTTCTTTTGTAATATGGCCACTCAATCATGAAAAGGTGCAATGACATTAGGCCATTTGGGTATACATATGGATACCAAATTTCATCAGGCTAATTTTTACACGTGTGAACTCTGTTAAAGAGTGCCGTTAATGGATCTCACTCCAGTCCAGTTTTGTTTTGCAAATATTTTTCATTTTCTCCTTGAATTTTCAGATTCCATAGCCATTTTTTGTGACAATCGTTCTTCCCTACGAGCGCGAATTTCTTCCTTAAAGTCTTCCAGCTCTTTTCTCTGAAATCAAACAAAAGCACAACATTTTTTACATTATAAACAGATTTGCAAACGTGATATGCATTTTTTTGAAACAATAAAATTGTGAATACAAAACTAATTGGCGGGTTAAAATAATTCTAGATGGAAACATAATATGAACGAAATAATTTAAGGTAAGAATAAATTTAGTATCACTGTTCATTGTTGTTTACAATCATTCTACTGGTGTACGTAGGTCACTGTGTTAGTTTAAAAGAGCAAATTTAAAATAGTGAGACATCGGTGATACATTCTTTTAAAATAATTGTGTATTATACTTACAAGCTCTGCGTCGTTAAGTGGAAAGATCTCTTTCTAGATGTTACAATATGACATAAAAAAGATATTGGCTACTTAATTAAACATAGTCTGATGAATTGTTATTTACATGTTAATGTTGAAAAGTGAAACCGACCTTTCTCTTAACAACGTATTCTTCAAAGTACTCAGCTTGATTTGAGATCCAAAACACGGTCACAGGAAACGTCAGATACAGCACCATCTGCGCAAAATAAACATTTTAAATAAATAATAATTGATACATACCAGCATTAAAAGACCATGACGAAACATCACTGCTAGGTCAATTCGTATTGTTATAAACCTTTCAATCTATGATTGCTATACTTGTGACTTACTCTAAAAATTTCAATTTTAACACCCATTTTGAAAGAAAAGTCTTATGTATGAGGGCAATCTATATTGTAAACAATCCCAAACCACTATGACCGATACATGTAAAAGCTCGACTTCCTGGTTTTCCTGACGTCATCACGCAGGTCAAATGTCATAGTTCTCCTTCTATCCTTTCAAGCGCATATCAGCACAGTCTTATGCTGCCACCTAATGGGTAAGAAAACAAATTCAGATTAATTTAAATTAAATTTGTATTTATGATCAATTATAATTAGTTTTCAATTTACTCCAAGGATAATAACGTAGAGAAAAAAATCATGCTCCTAGTATAGTTATAATATGCAGCACAAAATGTTAAATACAAAAATATTATACATTATATGCATCTTTAGAACAATTTAATTTCACTCCGACAGGAACTATTCAAATGTTGTGCATATTTACAGCAAATGAGCAAATGGCTTAAAGACCGATTTCCTATCGTCACAAATCCATTAACATATGTCATACAGTACATATACAGTATTACATCACCATTTAAGGCTGATTTTTTTTCATTTTATTTTAAAATATAATGTGCCATCAATTATTAAAATAATTAATGGCACAGTGAACAGATGTAAAATGGTGTGCTTAATGTGAACTGCATAAATAATAGAGTCAGCTATGTTGGAGTTTTGTTAGTTCTATCTCAACGTTGAGGAAGAACAACATTGTCACATTCAGCACACAGGAGGGAGACATGACAACGGTCCTCATCTGTGGTCCATGAATGCTGAAGATCCTGATTTGAAAGATTTTGTTTCAACAAAGATATATAGCAGAAGTGAAAGACAAAGAAGGTAGATGCAATGATGTAGTTTCGCTTTAAAACTCAAAGGGAAAAACATACTTCCCACATCAATGTATGCCATGTGGTATTGATTGAATTAAAAAAAAACTGATGATGTCGAGAATAAATTTCAAGAGGAGTTAAAGAAGACACCCTGATTGATTGAGCAACAACTGTGGAAGAACTTATATGCTATTATTATGATTAAACAGCCCACATCTCCAACTTTTTTGTCAAAAGTAGAATATGGTTACCTTGTTCAAACATAAAATATTTAATTTTGTACTTGGCTAATGTTAAATATATTAACATTAGCCAAATACAATACGTTAAATTGGGGGTTACATTTAAAGTTATCTTGTGGTATTAACCTTTATTTGATTATTATGTGTATAATATCTTTATAAATATATATGTCATACATATGTCTTAACCAGATTTTTCTGAGAAAAAAAAAGTTTTTGTCAAATATAAACTCCATATATATAAATTACACCACTTCACTACAATTCACTAGTTTGTTTTTTATCTGGCACGTTTGATTTGTTTTCCATTAAATGACTAATGGCAATTGAAGAAATTGATGGAATTAAAATAAAAGCAAAAGTGAAAAGTTCTAGTTTTAGTATATTTTAAACGTTTTATGTTGTAATTTTGAATAATATACTATAACTATTTTTGACAGTATTGTTTACATACAAACTGTAAAAATGTAGACATCTCATATTTTTCCATAGCAAATTGTATTATAGCAGTGATTTATTGTGAAGTTTTTTAACCGTATGAAATAGTTATTGAGTTGAGTGATAAAAATGCATGCATCTCATACATCCCTACTGCTCTTGCGTGATGCACTCTACGTTGTTAGCGAAAACGTACGCGTTACGTCACTGACAACGAGAGGTGTTCTGGATCCTCGGAGAGAAAGATCCCGCGCGCCCTGGCAACCTGATAAACCCAGGTAAACGCCGTTGTTTCAAACAATATTCTGTCACCCATGTTGTCTCAGTAAGATGAATAAGTAGACGACAAGAAACACGGTACCAGTGTTGCTCAGGTTTAAAGCGCTCTTGCCCGGCGCTCACTGAGACAGTTGCACGGCGGCCTGTTCTGGCTGGTTAGCTAGCTAGCTAGCTGATGCTAGTTGGCAGTTGACTACTGAAATACACAATAACTACACGTCTGATATGCATTTGTCTGGTGTTTAAACTCTGATTCACTTATCGCTGACCAGATTTACGCCAAAATTAGGCAAATAAACCCTGTTATGTACTATGTGTTGGGTGCCTATGACCAGTTTGCTTGTAGACAGTCTTGTGTTGTGGAAGACGGTGACGGCGTCACGGTGGTGATGGCGCACACTCAGTCTGGGACTATTATCTGAGAATGCAGTCACGGGAGTTCATAGTAGAAATCGAATTCTCATATTCTGGCCACACAGCTTGCTGCCACAGTATTGACATATGGTAGTACTGACACATTCGTGCTTGTATGCACTACAAGGGCGTCCATTGCGAAACACAGGCAATAATCTTATGTCCTGTGGCCTAACGTGAGGATCATGGTTTCTCGACGGTAGTCGCTCGAAGAAGTAATTGCTTTGCAAATTAGTCGTTTCATTTAACGTCATCTTGTAATTGTTGCTGTCACGGACAGATGTGCAGGGTCATGTTTGTGCGAGTGCTGTGGCTAAATATTACAGACACAAAGCAATGGCTCTGAGCCGGCTGGTATGTTCACATTATTCAAGGGAAGGCCCGTTACTTAGCGTTATGCTCCTTTGCACTTTTTGTTGTGGAGATCACCGTTATTGTAAAGCAGTTAACTGTTAGCAAAATATGTTTTTAAACGCAGTGTTTAAGAAAAGGTCCTCTAGTATATTCATACAGACGTTCGTGGCTACAGCCATACGCTTGTTTGTCGAGGCGTGCGGGGGAATTTTCCCAAACTGATCAAATTGAACAGCTTTGATTCACAAAGTTGTGCGTCTTAGATAACAATTACATAAACTGAACTCTGACTGCTACATATGCTAGATAACGTATCAACAAGTCAACATTTTTGTTAAAAAGTAAAATGTGGTTTGCATTTATTTAATTTCACAGAAATTAAATATGTAAGTTTAAATGTCAGTTATTTTCCCCCACATTATCTAGGCGGGCTTTAAACTTGATGTAACACTTAACCAGTTGTGTTTTTTTTCATCCTACCTGTTGGAATTGGGGATTTTGTGGACACTACACTTCAACTTTATAACTCCTGCATACTTTGGAGAATCTTGGAAAGTTGATGGCTATGTGTCATGATTATCAAATGTAGATATTAAAATTATTAATTAGCCATGTGCTCTTTACCTGTATAATGCCCTATGAAAGCTTTGAGTCTGAGTTTGGTTTCTGTGTGGTGTCATTATTAGGTCATCTGATTATTATACAAAATGTTCATGTCCCTGGAGAATTTTGTTTCTTGTTTTTTTTTTTCTGTTCTCTCTGGTTTAGTTGCCATGGTAACACCATCCTTGGCCTAGTTGTGAGTGACCTCTGAATGAAAAGGAATGTTGTCTGGAAACAAATGAGCAAGCACACAAACTACATCATAGTTTCTACAAGTGCTTATTGTGTGCATTTACCTATATACACTTTGCACATCAAAGGCATAACCACTTTTGTATCAAAACACTGGCTGTCAGTAAGATGCCATTGCAGTATGACATAATGACAGTAGCAGGCCTGTGAAGCTATTTAAAACATACTGTAAAAAGAGCTTTTTAGCAGAACAGATCAACAAAATAGAGGTTTCTAGAACTGACAGATGTCTTTTCAATAATCTACTCAATGAAGAAGTCGAACTGACACACAGCATATCATTTACAAGAAGCTCCTTCGCTGTTTATATATATATCTAACAGTACATGTATTCATCTCAAAGCTTATTGATGCAGGATGGTTGACACACATGTAACCATATGAAAGCTTGTCAAGGGGAACTGTGGTAATGCAGATCAGAACTTCTCCTGGATGCTATTCTGATGGGTCCCAATTGCTCCTTTAGTCTTTTAGTTGCATCCAGCAATTTTACATAAGTTCGCAGTTAGCATAGATCAGCCTTGAATGGTGAATGGAAGCGAAAGGCATGGCGTCCAAGTGGCAAGCCAGCATGGGACACGGGGTTAGCCTTAATCCAGCCCATGTTGATGTGCCTGTGCTCTTACACGCAAATCAGAATCTAAAAGCAAAAACTGACAAAGCAAGACTGTTATAATGACTAGGCTTTCAAGCTGTGTATTCAGCAAAGTCAGTTAGGATGGTGAACTCTCACACTCACCTGTTGCTAGAAGAAGCCCTGTTCATGTTAATTGATCCAAAACATTTGATTAACGAGTCGATTAATCTGTACATCCCCCTAGTGCCTGAATAAAGTAAACGTGTTGTAATGACCTCCTTTGGCAAAATCATAATCATGTTCGTGGGAGAACTGGTACCAATTCCAGCTGACAATGGGCAAAGGAGAGGCTAAATGGACAGGACACCAGTGCATCACTGCGCCACATAAAGAGAAACACAGCCACTAATTCCCATTTATATACCTATGGTCAAGTTTGAGTCTTTTTTAATCCAATGCCCAATCAGCTGTTATAGAACTCGGGAGGATACCAGAGTGAAGAAGGAAAGTGTAAACACTCCCAGGTCAACCCTCACACATCCTAGTATTTTTACCACCCCACACCTGTGTCAGGTTGGCAAATTGCCCCTTCACTATGTTCTTTGCTTTTATTGCCTGTAGATTCCAGCTACTCAAGTGCACTGGTGATTATTAGAAGCGTCCTCAAATTCATTAACATCAGCCATCTCTGCTGTATGTTGTATGCATCATTTTAGTAATGGTGGTTGGCCATACCCAACATTTTCCACGTAGGAAACAAGAGCTTTAAAACTTTGACAGAATAATGTTTTTAAAGAATAGTTGACAGTCATGATGCCATGCAATGTGACATGTATATAATGAGCATGGCTTAAGTCATGACTTCAACAAAGAAGCAAGTTTGTGTTTCTCTGTAAATGTATTAACATGCAATTGCAGATTTGTCAGTGGCTTCAATACACATTTGCTCATGAGTCTTTCATATCAAGGTATGTTATCAGTTATTGGTATTGGCTTCTGGAAACAGGAAGTTATCAGTATAGTGCATCCCTAGTTTCTGGTCATGGTACATTCACTTAGTTTACTTCATAGTTGCTAAACTTTATTTAAACACGTTATTATTACAAAAATACTGTACTTATTGAATTTCCCCTTTTCAGCATGAACACAGTTCATTGGACAGTATGTAGTGGATATAAAAGGTCTCTGTGTGACACATCTGTCAGTCCAGATTGTATCTTTAGTTTGGCACTGCCCTGCAGCTGTGGATACAATGATCCCTTATTCTGCAGTCATCACACAGGAAACATGTTTTTGCTCTGTTCAATGCACTAGTTGGCTATTACTGTATGTTGTTGCACTTGTACCTTTAGTTAGTATTTGGTTATTATAATCAATAAAATTACTTGTGTCCTTGGTGTTTTTCTGGCCACGAAGAATTAAAGTGTGTCTGAACTAAATTATTTTGTTTTATCCTTTGATGAAAATTGATTCAGTGTAACTAGATGATCTAAACTTGAAAACTATAAGTCCAGAAATGCTGATTACATTTAAAAAAAGTTACCTAATAAATTCATGGTGCCAAGGATACACACAGTAATTGGCATAATTATTTTAAATAATTAAAAAAAATTTTTTTTTTTAAATGTTGGTGGTTGACTTTTTCACATACTCAATCATCTGCTGTGATACAGTACTCTTGGTAACTAACTTAGATTTTATTTTATCTTAACAATTAAAACATATAATATGATGTTCGATCATTATTATCAAACTCCTCTGCTCCTTTATCTTGCACCTTGTGTGGCTTTCATATTATGAATATAACGAGTAGTGATTTATGGGAAATTAGTTTAGTTGACAGAGTTTAGCCGGTATCAGATTCCTTCTTAAACTTTTAATTAAAGAAAAGTTTATTGTTTTGAGAATAAATAATAATTGTGATATAAATTGTTCCAATAAAATGAAAAAGAGTGCAGATAAATTGGCTAAGAAAGATGATCACTCATAAGAGAGGAAAATGATGGGGGATGGGCTTAATGAAATGGACGGAGGAAAAGACAAGAAGAAGGGGGTGGGGTGTTAAAGGTGTAATGGAGAAAGAGGAGAGAGAAAAAGGACCTCAAGCTATTGATGGGGGAAAAAGGGAGGGGTGGAATGAGCCATGGTGTGGGAGGAGGGAAGCACATAGGGAGGGGTGTGTGTGGGCTGAGTTTGTACTGAATGAGGAAGCAGCAGTGCCATTTTTTACTGTTGAGTAACTGCATGCTGGTCTGCTTCTTGGAGGGACAGGGTGAGAGAGCGATTAAGGAGAATAAAGTGCTCTGGCTGGATCTAATCAGAGCTTTCTCCACTCTCTCACCCACATCTCTCTTCCTTATACACTGACTGCTTGCCGCATGTGATCATTTGAGTTTGGGAGGCCCTGGAGAGGACACACAATGGAGCGACGAGCCTCTGGCAACTGGGCCGTTGTACTGCTGGAAGGGGGATGGGGTAAAGAGCGGACCGGTTCACACAGCTAACACAGCCTGCCGGCTGTAGGCTTCCCCAGCCTCTTCTCCATGCTTGGACCAACTGTTTCCATGCTGGGGCCATTTTCCTGGAACACTCACCCTCCAGCTCTGCTTGGACTTCATTGAGGATTACTCACCATGTTCTGTGGGATTCTAGTATACATGCTGGAGCCTGAAGAATAAATCTTGTCTGTGTTTTGGATAAGAGGAAAGGAAAACTGAACTTCTGTATAATTATTTTGAGCTCTTGTTTTTTGTTTTTTGGCTTCAGTTTCTTTTTAGAAGAGTTCATAAATGGATTACAAGATGCATGCCAAGTCGAACGATTTGCTGGATTTTCAAAAACTGGATGCCCTCCTGGAAAAAATTGCCCATTCAGTCTCTGTGAAAAGGTAATATTATCTGACAGGTATCAGGGAAGTTAAAGAAACTAGTTTCAGTATAAACAGACCTAGTGTTTTAAACACTTAGCAAAGACAAAATTTAAGATTAGAGTAATGTTTCTAAGGATGGTCTCATGGTTAGCACTATGTGTACTTTTACAAGGTCCAGCACACAAATTCTGTTCTGCCCTGAACCTACCTCCTGGTGAGAAAGGGGGAGTGGGGGAAGGGGGGATAAGAAGAGGGGGGTTGCATGAGGTAGTAGTATGAATGTTTCCTGATTCCTGGTTGGCTTTGGTTTGCTTGTCTCAGCCAACACAAAGTAAACCTGAAAAAGTTGCCATGATATTTGCCCCTTCCTGTTTAGATTCTCTGAGTCATGTTTAGGCTATTTGAGTCAGTTTGTGTGATCAAGCTCTGACTCATACAGGGTATTTTCTTTTTAGCTTTTCCATGTAAGTTATCTAAGTATGCAAAATCTTGTTCATTTTAACAGCAATCCCCGAAATCCATTCATGAATTGTACAAGACAAGCTGTGCATCCAAAACACTCGTCGATTCAAAGAAACTAAAAAAAAATCTAGATTCAGTGTGTGAATATCACATGAAACATACACTAAAGGTGTGTGTTTTAAGATACAGGCGTAGTCCTCACTGTTGTCAGACTACCAATAAGTAAGGACTGTTGGCAACTTAGAAGTAGGTTTTTAGTTCACCTATGTCTTAATTTGCATTTTATTTAAATACATTACCAAAAATTTTGATAAGTTGCAGTACACAATATAAAGAATACGAAATACAAATGTTGGTAATCAAAAGAAAACTTGAAGGTTACTGCTCCGGCTTTAAGATCACCAGTCTATTTTATTTTTTTATTTTTTTGAGGAAGTTGATATTTTGATTGCAAGCTACATTGGTTGTGTTAACTTGTGGAGTGCTTCTTATTAAGTATTAATGTCCACGAACAGGTGACAATTACAGTGAATTGAGAAACACAGAAAGAGAAAAACAGCTGTTAAATTTTCAAACAAAATCACAATTAACAAAATCACACATTTAGTAAGTATGTGATGTTAGACACAGCACAGACTTCCTGGGGTGTACATCCCCCACCTTTGCAACCAGAGACACATCCTCCTGAGAAAACATTCCTCAGTAGTCTGCACTGATGTATGTCCAGGACAAAGGTCAGCTGTTATTCAAGATTTAAGAGTAATGTGGGGTGGACAGCAGCAGGAAGTGTGCCACTGAGTTGACCTCTGTAGGGAGTCCCACTGACTCATCAGGGTGCACGTGTCGGTATTGTGTTTTCGCCAAATGTTGCACGACAAAGCACCCTAAACCTTTCCAGGAACCGCTTTGATTGGTTTCTTCAGCTGTTGTTCAGTTGTTGTTACAAGCTTGGTATAGACATTAGAAGGTTAGCAAAACTAGTTAGATCACTTGAAGACAAAGCAGAGAGAGAAGACAAAATACAAAGGTGTTTTTACAATTACTGGACATCTGTATTGTCCAAAGCTCATAGAAGGAAAACTTGTTTTCCGGGTAGCTTGTATCTATATATACAGTATTTATTTTCTCAGATTCATATTCTTAAACATTATTATAAAGGCCCCCCAATAAGCTTGTCTATTTTTTAATGGTTGATATTGCAAAAATGTCTACTAAAACTTTTTTTGACACTTGACCTGGTAAGAATGTCTTGTAAGTACTGACAGGAGTTTTTATTAGATTTCTTCAGTCATACTTCCTGGTACTTGTCCAGTCGTTGTTGTTATTCTTGTTTGTCTGGGTTTTTTTTTAAGCTTACACTTGACTAAAAGTGATGTCTTATCCACTCAGAAATAGTTAGACTTTTTTGCACTGCACAAGCTTCTGTTGAATGCATAGAGTAATAAGAAGACTTTTAGCTGTGTCATCTTTCACTTTGGACAGTTGTTATCTCAAGAAAATTCAACGGTTCTCATTAACTGAACAATTTTAATTTTTCGTAATATAAGTGTTCTGTGTTAGGTGATCGGAAGCTACAGTAACTTCCCGGTACATTTGGCCCTGTAAGGTAGTAACTTTGCATTAAGACATCAGCTAGAGCAGAGAAGCCATTCAAGTTAAAGTAAATAACTGGAAATTATAACAATTCAAATGCTCTAGAAGTACTCTTATCTTAAAGGATATTTAAAAAGACATTTTCTCATGAGGCAGATTGTGAGATAATTCCAAAATGGTTAGCTTTCCACATCCATACTTTCTCTCAAGTGTTTCTGTATTGTCCAAACATTGGGAAATAATGGGAAATGGGAAAATATTTTTGGCAGCGTTACGCGTAAACTTCTGAAGTGTGCACTTTTGCTGCTGTTAGCAACATTCGCCCTGTGGCTTTTTGTCCTAGATGGCTTGTAGTCTTCTTGCTCACAACCAAATCTTAAAGTATTATTTCTTTCTGACTGTTTCTCTTCACTCAAAATGGTGATTTGGTCAGATTCTCCACTCTCATTTTGAGTACCATGAGGCATGTGAGCACAGCAATCATGTGGTGTTCAAACTGCTTCACGGTTTGTAAAAGAAATACTCAACAGAAATGTGATTAATCCCAGATCTTTACTGTATGGTGGTTTGTGTTGATTTTCAAAGGAGCTTTTGTGGATGTTACTTCGTTTAGCAAGTTGACGAAAGTAGAATTTTTGAGTGTCATCCAAATATCAATTTGGCAATTTTACCAATCACTTCCCCCCAGTTTATTTTAAGCCATGCTGTTGTCTTGACAGCAGTTGTGCGTGTCTTGAATATGATGATCCTGTGCCGGCTGAAGACATTATGTAGAACTGAGGACTCATACGCCCACATCCTTTAGCACGGCTAGTTCTTGAAACAGAATAGTTTAGCAAAGGAATAGCATGCACCTATAATACATATATATATATATAATAGTAATCTTACAGGTTTTGAAAGATACCTATTATAGTAAAACTAACAACTTTAAAGCACTTAAATAGCTGTTCTTACCTATGGTACCTCTAAATTTCAGTGGAATGTCTAAACCATGTCCATAAGTATCATAGTAATTATTAATTGTTAATGTCATGAGTATTGATATGATAAATTATTTTATCAAAACACCTCAAATAATTTTATAACAGTAAATAAAAATGCCATTATTAAAGCAAAATCTGTCTGAAACATTTCTTGTAATTGTGCTTATTCTACTTTGACTGTGTGGTTGTGTTTGTGTGCCCATGTGAACCATTTAGGCTACTTACTTTAAAACAATATGACATTTGGTGTTGTTTGTTAGTTAAAGTAGTCTACCTCCTTGTGTAGACACAGAGGAATTTACATTGGCAAGAAACACTACAGTGGCTTATTGAGGTTTCTGTAAAATCGTAGGTCGTAACACTTATGATGCCATGGTGTTTTGTTGGTTAATACTAGCTGTACAGAAAAGGTAAGCAAGTTGTCTAATAGAATAGTTTATAACTATGTTGGTCTTGAATTTTACTAATGGGAAAATGTGATGGAAAAATGACTTTGTGTCCTAATATGGTGCCATTCTACATATTTTATCAAGTTACTCAAAATTACAGACAAAATGTCCACGGATACTCATACTAATGTATATTGAATGTGTATTGAATAGATGATAGTTTTCAATTATACTTATAATATCTTTTCTTTTTTAAGAGAGTCCAGCGAGGAGTGCAATGGGATCACTGGTGCTCTGTCAGTGGAGTCTGTGCCGGGGCCAAGACTAAATTGGTGTCCTTCTAGCACCACTACCCCTGCCCCTGCTCCAGCTACAGCTCCCACTCCGGGGCCCAACCCTGTCAGAATGGGGGACGGCATGGAAGCGGCGCAGATGTCGGGCGGCAGCAGCAGTCAGGGGCAGGCCCATTCATCTGGCAACCCCCCACCTCCAGAGTACATCAATCCTGAGAGGCCAAAGCGCCAGACCAATCAGCTACAGTACCTGCTCAAAGGGGTGGTGAAGGCCCTTTGGAAGCATCAGTTTGCCTGGCCCTTTCATGCACCAGTGGATGCAATCAAACTAAACTTGCCTGTAAGTGTTAGGTTTATCCTTGTATATGTGATGTCTTATACTTAACTTTGATAAGCAATCAGATTAACAACACCAACACCATGTCTGACTGCCTGACACTAATTTGATGCATAAGATCATAATAGAGATATTGTGACTGACATATATGTAACCTCTCCAGGACTACTACTCAATAATAAAGAACCCTATGGACATGGGAACAATCAAGAAAAGGCTTGAGAACAGTTACTACTGGAACGCCCAAGAATGTATTCAAGACTTCAATACAATGTTTACCAACTGCTATATTTACAACAAGGTAAAATGTTTATAATGTTTTTTACTTAATTATGTCCCTTCAAGTTACTAATCCTGTTTCTTTACCTGCCCCTGCAGCCTGGAGATGACATAGTCTTAATGGCTGAGGCTCTTGAGAAGGTTTTTCTCCAGAAGGTTTCAGAAATGCCTCAGGAAGAAATTGAGATTGTTGTCATGACAGGGAAAGGACGTGGTCGGGGCAGAAGAGAAGGAGGTGAGTGGTTCATTCCTTGTTACTAGTATTTGATCAAATTGAGAAGAGAGCAGTAAGATTACTGGTATTCTCTTATCAAGGACTGAACTTGAAGCCGGGGGCCATCAGCGATCCACTGTCGACAACTCCACAAACACGGGGTCTCTCAAACCTCTCGGCAGCACCACAGACCAGAGGACCTGTGCAGGGCCCTCCTTCTCTACCTCCACAGCCTTTGATGCAGGCTCACCTGCCCCCGACATTACCCAGCCAAGCACCACAGCTTGGAGCTCCATACTCTCTGGGCCATTCAGACTGTGCTCCTCAAGTACCCATCATGACATCTGTGCCTCCCCCTGCTCAAACCTCGCTTCCTCCAGCATCTATCCAGAACACTGCTTCCATGCTGCAGAACTCTATAACCATGACCAAAGTGAGTGTGTGACTAGCAGAGGCTAAACTTTGCACACAAATCAAAAACTTCAAGACTTAATTAAGTCTAGAAATATATCTACATTGTGACAAATTACATTCAATGTAGTACATTCAATGTTTGGAGGTCCATTCAAATGTAGCTGAAATGGCAACTACATTTTGTGCTTTTAAATGCATTTAAATATTCAGCAAGTATATTGATCATCCTAACAATGCTTGCAACACTGCTCCAAATTAGGTTTGGGCGATATGGTTTACATTTCAAAATAGGATTTACATCTCCATATATTTTCCCCAAAAAATAGTAACAAAAGATTGTTAAGTAGCATATTTCAAAGTATGCAGGGATTGTATTTTTAGAAATGCATATATACATTAAAACGCTAAATATTAAATGCTAAACAAGCATATATTGAATAAAATTACACTTGAATAAAATCAAATTATGTTTAAACCAATTGCTACCTCCTTTATCTTATGTTTTGTGAAAATAACTGGAAACGACTGTTAATATTTTGACTACAGAATTCCTAATCCAATTGATGAGAGTACACTTTGAGCGGTTTGTCAACTGTGACTCAGACTGATGTTCTCCTTTTTCTAGCGTCTCTCCCTCGTTTCACACACACTCTGCAAATCCCTCATATATGTTGCAAATGACAGAAGAGACGTGATGTGAAGGCCTGAACTTTTGGTTAGAAATTATTTCCAGCATCCTGGACAGAACACATTTTTTCTTTGTTCATCTGACACTAAGAACGTGAACCACCTGTATCTAACCTGGCCTTTAGTTAGTTTTTTATTTACCAACTAAAGTTTGCTTCTCTTCTAAGTGTTAGCATCATACAATTCTTTTTGTTGTGTTGATGCTTAATGTGAAATGGGTGGGGCAGGTGGAGGCTCGGGGGTAGAAGTTTTATAAAATATGATTTTAGGGCATTACCTACATGTGTCAATATTAACTATACAGTCTCCTATTTTGTGTATAAAAAAAAATTGATATTTAGTAACATTTCCATTTATCGCCCAGACCTAATCCTAATGGTTTCCTAATCTGGTTTCCAAAAAAATATTTTTTTAAACACCTCAACATTTTGTACATTTTGTATATATAATAAACTTCTTGGTTATGCTTGAAATTGTGGAACATTTAAAACATATGCAAATGGCATCACTAATCATTACTTTCCCCATCTTGTTTCTCAATTTTTTTTACTTTTACATGTTTACTGCTAAACAGCAAAGAAAGAGCCAGAAAAGGAAAGCTGACACTACAACACCCACAGCCAACGACCAACTCAGTGAATCTTCGCCGGCAGAGTCCAAGTCTGGAAAGGTGTCGTTAAGACGAGAAAGCACTAGACCTACGAAGCTGATGAAGAAGGAGGCCCCAGATTCTCAGCATCATATAGGCATGGGGATTGGACCCAGTGGAGGTCTTAGCCCTAAACCACAAGATCAGTTGGGATATTGCGGAAGTTTAGTTAGAGAAATGCTTTCAAAAAAGCATGCTAATTACGCTTGGCCATTTTACAAACCTGTCGATGTGGATGCCCTTGGACTACATGATTACCATGACATCATCAAACATCCCATGGACCTAAGCACCATCAAGGTGTGTTACAGACAAGAAAACCTGGTCACAGTTTTATAATCTTACATTATAGACCTTTGACTTGTGCTACTACATTTAATTACAATCCTCAATGTGTCTTATTAGGCCAAGCTGGAAAATAGGCAGTACCGGGAGCCGCAGGAGTTTGCCACTGACGTACGATTAATGTTTTCCAACTGCTACAAATATAACCCACCAGACCATGAAGTGGTATCTATGGCACGCAAATTACAGGTATACAGAGTCCAAATTACAAAGAGAAAAGATGTTGTCCTAAATAGAATTGTATTTTTAGTTTTCTAAATATTTATTAAAAAATAATTATTCTAAAGATTCACAGTTCTAGAGTCAGCTTCATCACAAATGATAATTGTTCAATCCTTTAGTTAACTTCAAGATCAGTAACACTTGCTATAAGTCTAGAGTACTATAAGAGTTGAAACGCACTCAAAAAAGGTAGAAGTAATAAGTTGTGCTTTTTCTGATTTTCTACAGGACATGCACTCACATTCTTACTAAGTTATCTTTGTCAATTTTACAGGATGTCTTTGAGATGCGATTTGCCAAGATGCCAGATGAACTTGAAAGCAAGCCTCTTGTTTCTCCCCCGGCACCACCACTTCACCATCCTGCTCCAGTGAAACCACCGCCTCCTATGGCCCACATCCCCTCATCTTCAGACAGTTCCAGTGACTCCTCTTCCGAGTCTGAATCCTCTACAGACGACTCTGAAGAGGAGAGAGCCCAGAGGTTGGCAGAGCTCCAGGAACAGGTCAGTAATTAGAGAAGGAGATCACAGCATGTCTTCCAGCTCTTGTTGCTCTTTGTTGAGAACCACTCTTGTCTGTTGATACAGTTGAAAGCTGTTCATGAACAGCTGGCTGCCCTGTCCCAACCACAAGCCAGCAAACCAAAGAGAAAAGAGAAGGAAAAAAAAGAGAAGAAAAAAGACAAGCATAAAAAGAAAGCAACCATGCCTGGTCTTGGAGATGAAATTCAGGATTCTACTCCTGTTCCACAGCTCTCTAAAAAAACCAAGACCAGTACAAACAACAACAAAGAGATGTCCAAGAAGAAAACCAGGTGAATATTAAACTTAGTAATTGTGCAGGTAAGAGTAGTTGTACCATATAGCATTCCCCAGGTACATACTCTTTAGTTTACGACTAATTATTTCTTTTGTGCTCCTGTCATTTTTAGCTTGAATCTGCATATTACAATCTTAATATAACTTTTTAGTGCTTGCTTAAGTGTTTGTTTAAATTCCAAATGTACATTTTTTCTGTTTAGTAAAAAAGAGGGGATGAGAAACAGTCATCCCTCCAACCTACCACCAGTTCCTAACGTGGAAGATGATCTGGGGGCCGGTGGGTCATCGGCTATAGGGGAAAAGTGCAAACCAATGACGTATGAGGAGAAAAGGCAGTTAAGCTTGGATATCAATAAGCTACCTGGGGACAAGCTTGGCCGAGTTGTCCATATTATCCAATCAAGGGAGCCTTCACTGAAAAACTCCAATCCGGATGAGATTGAGATTGACTTTGAGACTCTAAAGCCTTCCACTCTCCGTGAGCTGGAGAGATATGTGTCCTCATGTCTCCGCAAAAAGAAAAAGTTTCCAGGTAAACAAAAACAAAAAAAAAAATCAACCAATATCTCACGTGTCTATTTTAGAAAAGGTCATAACACCATTGTTGTTGGTTTGTAGTGGAGAAGACTCTGGACACTATGGCTACCTCAAAAAAGACTGGATCTTCTTCGGACAGCAGTGGCTCCAGCTCAGAGAGTGAAGCTGAGGGAACAGGTGACTGATTTTATTTTTACTTACTACACCCTGAATAACACTTATAACACAAAAAGTTGGTGCTTAACGTGTATATATATATATATATATATATATATATATGTATATATATATATATATATATATATGTTTTATTTTTTTAAGGAATGGTAAAACAGCAGAAAAAGAAAAGCCAGTCTGCGAAGGATGGTAAGAAGACGCATCCTCCTGCTCTGAGCGCCCCTGTACTGCCTGTGGTCCATTCCCTACCTGTGGGCCTTCAGTCCAACAGTCAGATGAAACACCTTCAGCCACAACATCAGCCATCTCCTGCAGGCTTTATGGTGCCTCCCGTTGCTGCTTTGGAGTCTTCTCAGTTACTGGAGACTAGCTTTGACTCTCTACCGCCTTTCCCCCAGCCCCTCATGCATCTCACACAGCACACAGGAAACTCTTCTTCTTCTCCACCTCCACACCTAAACCCTCATTCTGCTGACCCAGTGTCCCCTGAGACCCACCCTTTCCTTAACCAGCATCCCATCCTCGCATCTCCAGGTAAGGCTGATGAAATAAGACATTCAGCTATACTGAAGCCACCTGACTGAACTCATTGTGTTGGTTGGAGCTGTACAAGTATTTGGTAGTGATTATATCATAACATATTTGTTTTTACTTTCTTTTATTTCCAACATATAAGCTTTACACAGTACCATGCCACAGCAACCCTCCAGACCCAGTCACAAGGCCGCACCTCTCCATCCGAAACCACCTCAGCAGCCGTCAGCACCGCCTGCTCCTCCTCAACAACAGCAGCAGCAACTGCCGCCGCCAACCCTGCAACAACAAACACAACAACAGCAGCAGCTGCAGGCCCAGCCTACAGTTCCACCACAGCATCACCTCCCCTCACAGATTCTCCATCCTCCTCAGCCTCTACACCAACGGCCACTGTCCCCTCCAACACTCACACCACAGGGCTTGTTGTCTTCCCAACCTCCCCAAATGTTGCTGGAGGACGATGAGGAACCAGGGCCCACAATGCCTTTAAACCAAGTACCCTTATTTCTACAGCAATTTCAACAAACCCGTCAACCTCAGCAGTCCATGCAGTCGCTTCAGGCGCAGGCTCGTCAGCAGCAACAGCAACAGCAGCAGCAACCAGGGCCAACTCCTCTTCTGTCTGTTCAGGGTCAACCTCAGCTGTCATCTCAGACAGCGCTGCCTCCTCCCCAGCTCCCTGTCCAGTCCCAGGCTCCGACGGCACCAACACATCAGACCCAACCCCAACAAATGCCGTTGCACCAACCCCGCCACATGCAGCACTCCCAGCCAACACCACAGAACTACCAGCAGGCTCCTGGACTTGTTGGACAGTCACAAGTGTCGCACAACAAGGGTTCCATGTCCATTAACAAAGTACAGCCGATCATCCAGCAGCAACATGAACAACCGTCCCCTCGTCAAATTAAGCCTGATCCCTACTCCACAGGTAAGCCCGAGAAGACTAGCCAAAAAGTCATCCATAATTACTAATGAAAATAAATTTATTTTACCACGTGAGTCATTTTGACTGAAGTCTGTTTCTTTTCTGCTCACAGCTCACCTGAGGGACAATTCGTCCCCTCTCATGATGCATTCCCCACAGCTTCCACAGTTTCCTCCTGTGTCACAACAGTCTCCAACACATAACATGCAGCCCAAAAAGGTAAGTACCCCAGCCCACTCCCCAAGGCTATTTCTAAGATATAGGGATAATAAGTGGTTTATTATTGGTGTAAAACTTCTTATCTTATTGTTTATTTCTGTCTCCATGCAGCAAAGACCTCCAGGTAATCAAGTTGTACTAAAAGAAGAGAAACTTTCTCCGTCACCAGTGATGAGAACAGAGCCATTTAACCCTGCAATGAGACCAGATCATCACAAACACACAGACACTAAGCTGTCTCAACCTGGCCATGGCCATCAGAGTGAGAATCCCGCATTTCCCCTAAATTAAACAGTGGTTGAAGAAGCATCACAATATTTCAACACATGCTTGTGCGTGTCTGTATATCTGTTCAAACAGATGTAAAGTCCATGGACAGTTCTCGCCCTGTCATCCGATCCTCGGAGCCCAGCGGGCCGCCTGACATACTGCAAGAGAAAGAAAAGTTCAAGCAAGAGTCCAAGACACCTGTTGCCCCTAAAAAAGTACAGGTGAGTCTTAGTAGTTGTATTAATATTGGCTCAATTTGTTTATTTATATTTGACTTTATGATAATTACTTTTTTCTGTTTTTTATCAGGATGTGAAATTGAAGAACATGGGCTCTTGGGCCAGCTTGGCTCAGAAATCCACATCCACGCCCTTATCTGCAGTAAAATCATCTAGTGACAGTTTTGAGCAGTTTCGACGTGCCGCTCGAGAGAAAGAGGAAAGAGAGAAAGCTCTGAAGGCCCAGGCAGAGCAGGCTGAAAAAGACCGGCTACGCAGAGAGCAAGACAAACTACGGTGAGAATGACAAAAAAAAACAAAAAACAGACCTAATCTATCTGTGTTTTATGCTCTCTGGTGAGATAGAAATTGAGATCCTTCACTAGTGTACTCACTCAGTTTAATGTATCTAAATAAATGTGGTGCTATAGGCCCCCTAGTGGATATTTTGTATGACCACCAAAGATACTAAAAGGTTTTTTATCTCACAGGACTGATGATGTTTCACACTAAAATACCAAAAACTAAAACACTAGAACTAAAACAAAGTTGCCAATTAATTTTGAAATCATTCAGATTTAAAAAAATGAAAAGTGCATATCGACTTTTTAGATATAGAACATAAATAGGAAGCATGGGAGTAAACAAACACTGACAACTACAGCCAAACTACACTTGTTTGTGTCCTGTTTTTTTGTAGTCTTGTCAGATACATATGGACTGGGCTTGTCATGTTGCATGAACAAGAATGAAATCACTTAGTGGTTTACAACACCCTTAACAGGCCATAGATGTTGACGGTCTTACTGTATAATCATTAAACCTCCTAATAATAGATCTTGAGCTCAGCTGCACATAACAGGGTTTACTCACAACCTGTAACACAGAAAAGCAGAAGAAGACGTGTTCCAAATAATAGCTCCAACTTTTTTTCTCTATGCTTTTTGAATAAAAGAAAAGACATCCTTTATCTTATTGATTTAATAAAGCCCGAACTATGTTTCAATGATGTCTTGTGATGTCTTTTAACTTATACATAATGGAACAAAAAATACTTTACTACGGGATTTTTGTTGTTTTAATGACACTCAACAAAAGTGGTTTAATAATAAAATTGTAATAAAAAATACTTTTTTAATTCAACAACGTAAAATATAATGGCCTGGGTGTCTTTTCAGAGGTCGGGATGAAGAAGAAGTCATTGAGCCAAGCAGAAGAGTGCATGAGGAGCCACGCCGACGTCTGGAGCAACAGCACAGCCAAGCTTCTTCACATCAACAGCAGCAGCAAAAGCAGCAGCAGCAGCAACAACAACAACAACAGGAGTCACTGCCCACTGCCATTCAGCCACCGCCTCAACCCCCTACACCACCACAACCCACGACACAGAACTCAGTAGACCAACAGAGGGAGCAAGCACGCCGCCGAGAGCAGGAGAGACGGAGACTAGAAGCGGTAAGATTTGTGTGTGTGTGTGTGTGTGTAATGAGCTTCTACTGCAGCCAGTCTTTAACTGCAAATCACAAGCTGAAGACATTGATATAGCAGTATTCACAGACGTCACACTGTCACATAGTGGACAAATGAAGCACTGCATAATGTGATGTACCTGCATCTCATTGCCGTCGACCTTTACCAGAATCTTGTCACCTCAAAACTTCTGAGACTCTACAGCAGCCAGGGCGCTCTCGTCCCAGAGCTGTCTCCCACTAACACAGTTCAGTGATGACTGCTGTCTGCAGCACAAGTCATACCTTCTTCTTTGTCATATTTTGTCTGTCTCTTTCACAGAGATCACAGAAAATGTATATCATTTTGTTAAAGTAGCATGTGTTCTCCTAACACTGCTTCAAAACATTTTCTGGCTTTGTGCCACTGATACATTTCAGTATGTTTTGAGGTCCAGAAACATAAGTTCTACTATGCAAGAAAAAGAAACAGAGGTGAAACTAATCAATAAATGAATGTTTGTGTCTAAAATGCTAAACTGTATTTTTTTTTTCTCCTACCAGTTGGCAGCAATTGATATGAATTTCCAAAGTGACTTAATGGCTATATTTGAGGAGAACCTGTTTTGAGAAGAGGAAAACTGTAACCTAACTGCAAAAACAAACAAACTCCCTCCCCCAGAAAATTATAAACTTGGATGATTATACACTTTCTCTCTGAAGTGAGGGTCGTTGACCAGGAACCACAGAGGAACATGGATATATGTGGATTTGACAGACGCTCGGAGACTGTACAAATACTGGAGGGTCACGGTGCGCGTCGTCACTGTGGACTGGTCTCACTCCGCTCACACGGGGACGAACCTGTCGTTCTGGATGTAATTCCTTGGAGTTTGGCATTGACTGCCTGATGTCTCAAGGAGAGAAAGGAGGCCTGTTGGCATGGTGTGCAACAGCTCACAACTTATCACAGTGGAGTGGCCACAGAAGTTAACGGCAAGATTAAATACATACAGTGGAGTGGCCGCAGAAGTTAACGGCAAGATTAAATACATCCCAAAAACTACAAAAATGCTCTGATAATGTGCTGACAGACTGTGCAATGGTGTTTTAAAACTGCCAGATGTCTGAGGTGTTGAAGAGGACTGTTCTTTAACCTTCTGTTCTGTTTTTCTGTTTTGTTGTAAGTGAACACATGAAAAGGTCGGGGGAGGGCAATGGGGAGGGGTCACTTCCATACTGTAAAAACATGTATATTTCTCTGCAGAGAAGGTACAGTTTGCCTTACACCTTTTTTCCTATACAGACCATAATGTTCTGTGGCCTACACACGTGAACAAACCAGTAATAACATTTACAAAACCACGAGTAGGAACAGCGCAGAAAAATCTTTTTCACCATCTAGTATCTACTGTAAAAAAAGTATTTTCTTATACTGCGATAACTGTTTATTTTGAGTCTTTCGTTCTCTCTCTGGGTCTTTAAATCTTACATCCACACACTCCGTCACCTTTGTCTACGCTAAACAACCCGTCATCACTTATGCTTCTAACATATGATAGATAGTAGGTGTGTGGGGGAGGGGGAACTCAGCCGGTATGCATTAATCTTAGTTCCAGCAAATATTGTATCAAACACAAAAAGATGCTGTTTTTATCCCGCCTTGTATTTTTCATAATAACATTTAGGTAATTGACAAGCAGAAGAGAACAGTCCCACGGTTTCTAGTAAACTTAAATTACTTGGTTGTGACTTCAGTCAGTGTAACTTAATAACATCTAGTTAACTTTGAGGAAATTAGATAGAAAAAGCATTGTGTGATAGACACCCCAACGGTGCCTGCAACCTTAGTCTCCTGTTATGTCTCAATTCTTCAAGTGGGATTAAATTACAGAAAGTCCTGAAACCTGTGACTTTAAAACAAACTTTTATTTAAACAAATTTGAATCTAATCCCAACACTTGCGGTATTCTTTCTTAGTTTCGCTAGTTTGCACCAGAGTAGTCCATCTAGTACATTGGTCCAAAGTTACAATGTTATTTGTATAAAATCTCTGGTCTGTTTGCAGCCTTTACCACTTTATTTCCCACTTATTTAAGGCAGAAAGGGAACACTGAAAATGAACACTTCTCTGTAGCTGTCATTTAAACCCCATCAGTAAAAACTGCTAGAAAGTACACGAACAGGACTATCAAAATAAGTTATTCAATAACTGTTCAAAATAAAAGGACAAATAACAAAAAATCGTGTGCTCTCAGAGACATTGTTTGGACCCAGTTGTGATCTGACGGCATCTCTGTCATCTCACGGTGCTTGTATCCTACCACATTTGGGCTTATAATTACACTTAGAAGAGGGAGATGGACAGAATGTAAAATATTTCAAAGTGTGGGAGACTTAAAGGTATATAAAAAGAAAAGACAAAAAAGAAGGACAAATACAGCATTTTATATTTTACCCGTTGTCAATATTCAGGTTTTAAATTTAGTTTTAGCTGGATGAGTGTACACACCTGACAACTATATGTTTTCATTCTTTTCAATCAGCAGATTTTAGCTAGAGGTGTTTTGGCATTGCCACACTAGTATTTGAGTCTGGTCTGTGAGTGTGACTGTAAATTTGAAAAGCTGCGTGCGAGTGTGTGTGTGTGTGTGTGTGTAAAAAAAAAAATGTGTGGTACAAGGAGGCATGTTCTGCAATGTAGATAAGCATTCTATTAAAGTGGAGAAGAAACAGATAAGCAGTACTTAAGGAGAACTTGTTTTTGTGCTTAAGTCACCTTTTTAATTTCTATGAAGTCCACCATATAAAAAAATATATAATTTTTATTATACGTCTGGTTCAAGAGTAAAAAAAACAAAAAAAAAAGAAAGACATCTTCATTCCTTTCTAGACTTTTTCTTTCCTTTCACAGTCAACTGTTGGACATAATGTGCCATGAGTTCTACAGAGAATGTGCTGACCCGCAGCTCAGCCCAGAGTTTGCTTTATTCAGGTATTTTATTGTGTTACATGTGTTCTTTTTGGGGTTTTTGTTCAACTATTTTCCTCGATTATCATTTGGTATGTGAGTGGTCTATCGAGGTCTCTGATTATGTCTGTTATGATCATTGAATAAACTCATTTCTTTTATAGAAAATAAATATCCGTCTAAATTGTTTTCTTGAGGAAACTATACTTCACAGTTTGTAATTATTAAATGTTCTACAATGTAATTTTGTTTCAGTAATAGTCTGGCTACTGCTAGTAGCAGAGTTAGCATTTGCCTTGCAAGAATCCCTTATGCTTCACTTAAATGACATCAATATTCTTTGCCTGTTTTACAGGGGGATCGAGGCAACATGTCCTCCACTCTCTGCCTGGCTGTAAGTGTGTGTCCGTGTTTGTTTTTGTCTACATCGGTGCAGAGTTCTGCCCATTAACAAACTGAGAGCCGGGGGAGAAGCATAGATGCGCAACAATGAAGAAAATAAAATATCTTTGTTTAAATTGGTAACAGTAACCAGTGTTGGGCACGTTACCTTGAAAAACTAATTAGTTATAGTTGCTAGTTACTGCACTGAACGGCAGTGAGGAGTGTACGGACCTGTACATTGGGGAGACTAAACAACCACTACACAGGCGCATGGCCCAAAACAGGAGGGCCAACTCCCCAGGACAGGACTCAGCTGTTCACATACACCTCAAGGACAAAACACACTCCTTTAAGGAGAACAATGTGCACATTTTGGCCAGGGAAGACAGATGGTTTGAGGGAGGGGTAAAAGAAGCCATTTTTGTCAACCTGGAAAAACCAGGTGGACCAAGGAGGTGGACTCAGACACAACTTATCACCCACATACAAAGCACTTTTAGGAACAATACCCAAAAGATTCACCTCAGTTTCACATAACAAAGAGGCCCCCTTGAGCCCACCCTTTTGACTTCAGTATGACTCTACACATCTAAGACATTTTATTAAGTAAAAATAGCCGAATTTGAGTATTTCGCGATCAACTACAGGTCAGAAATCCTGGGTGAGGCAGTGGAGAGCTGTGAGATTCAATACAAACTGGGTCATATGACACATGCCCGTTTTTGTCCCTCAGCATATCGCCAATATTTACAGAAATGTACAGAAACTTTACAGAAATATTTGTTATGCAGCATGACTCTCTACAGTCTGTGTAATGTCTTTAATGTATGTGCAAGATAATTGCTGATCTTACAAGAAAGTGCAGAAAAAAGTCAGCAGGGAAGGCAGGCAATACTCTGTCTCACCTCAAGGGGGTGCGCTGATATTAGAACGTTTGTATAACGGGATTAGGAATGCAATGTACGGCCCGACCTTCCGGTTGTGGATCCGGCACATGTGACACGAGTCTCTAAGAGTGGCTTCATGTGATTGGTTTAAATTGTTTTTAAAAAAAACAATTGTCAGTTGTATTTTGTTTGAAGTAGTAGTCGTTCGGTCGAGACCGTTAGTGCAATTTACGCTAGCATATGCGTTTCGACAGCTAACGTTAGCTTTTGTCAAAAGTTAAAATGATTTGTAGTTGGTTTTTCTTCCTTAAATAATGAACATAGATTGAAATGAACTTTCAAATATTGCTTTTCTGTACAGAAACCCATCCTACTGCGGGGCCACGAGCGGTCCATCAGTCAGATCAAGTACAACGGAGAAGGAGACCTTCTGTTTCCGTTGCTAAAGATCCAGTAAGTGACACAAAATGATGCACTTAACAAGTTCCACTAATGACTATGGGACAATTGGTTTGACGTCAAGAATATGGAATGTCCACGTGGAGCTACAAATGACAACACGACTCTGTTAGTCGAGTAGCAGAGTAACCCTCTGCTAGTTTTGACTTGCAATTGTTACAAACATACGGCTATATGCTCTATAGTGTGTGTGATATGACACTGTAAATCATACTGTAATCACATAAAGGGGCCAATAGAACTGATTTATTTTCATTCTGATTCAGAAAAGGAAGTTAGTGCAACATGAATTTCTTCTTGAGGTTGTTGGTGGCGCCAGTAATGTAGAGCAAACTAATCATTTGTGAAGTGAAGCCATGATTGCATTGAAGCCTTTTAAAATTTACCTTCAACACTGTTCCCCCACAGGTGGCCAATGTGTGGTACGACTCGGCACCTACAACGGACACATGGGAGCTGTGCCGTGCGTCGACTGTGACTGTATCCTTTGATGTTTTTTAGCTCAGTATGCTGCCGTGTCTTCACCAGGGATGCCATAAGTTGATATCACTAATAATTAGCGATATGAAGGCCCTAACATTTTCCTTAGTGAAATATAATCAATGTGAAGGTGAACAAGGACAGACTGACATACTGCAATAATGTTATGACATAAAAGGTTATTATGCAACAACACAGTGTTGTGAAACCAATAAAAGCATAATAATTGTAATATTGTGATTAATTGTCTGACAGTTATTGTATCAAGTAAATGTGTAATCATGACACAGTTGACCCTAGCATACGCTCATGAATTGCTGCCAAGACGTTCCCTAACTGGCTCTTCTCAGGGGACACCAAAAATGTTTTGACAGGATCAGCTGATGACAGTGGAACTGCGTGATTGGAGGGTGAAAAGAAAATGCCTGTGTTTACATGGATAGATAGAAGTTTCTGAGTCCCTCTGGAGTTTCAGCAGCAGTACAGCACCAAAACAACAATAAAAAACGCACAAATAGGTAAAATACATGTGAAGCAGCACACTGTCAATGAATATGGTAAATCTGAACACTGGATGTCAGTAGATTAGTCTGTTAGCAGAAGTAGATCGATTAGTGTTAGTAGTATTAGCAGATTAATGGGTAATTATTGTTGCTGTGTGTGGTGTTGATTGCAATCTCAATTAATATATAGTATTTTATTTCTGTTATACTATTGTTATTCTAAATGAACTTGGTATGATGTGTATGTATAGTAAAGTATACCACCTTATACCTATCATATGTATATATAAGCAGAACTAGTATAATTATAAGGATGTTATGTGAACAGTATATAAAATAAATATGAAATATATGCACAGTGCATATAGTTGAGTAATGAAATTAAATAAACCGTTAGCTATATAACATATTAGTAGACAGAGTGTTTAAATGTATTTTGGTGTTTAATTTCTGCTCTTTGTCCTTTCTTTAAGGTCTGCCATCAGAACACGCAGGTTCACGCAGGTTCTTAGCGGCAACATCATGTTTTCCACGAACTTGTTCGACCTGAGGGATCCACAACAGATGGGTAGGTAATCACCACGCCTAATTGTCAACCTAAACAAATTAATACTGTAAAAGAAACTACAACTGCAGATAGTACATGGCTTCCGGATTATTGCTACTATAAAGAAATGGTTTGTATACAGTATTATAGAAATGAAATGCTGAAGAAAATACAGAATCACAGACAGCATTGTATAGTATAGTTTCCTCAAGAAAACAATTTAGACGGATATTTATTTTCTATAAAAGAAATGAGTTTATTCAATGATCATAACAGACATAATCAGAGACCTCGATAGACCACTCACATACCAAATGATAATCGAGGAAAATAGTTGAACAAAAACCCCAAAAAGAACACATGTAACACAATAAAATACCTGAATAAAGCAAACTCTGGACTGAGCTGCGGGTCAGCACATTCTCTGTAGAACTCATGGCACATTATGTCCAACAGTTGACTGTGAAAGGAAAGAAAAAGTCTAGAAAGGAATGAAGATGTCTTTCTTTTTTTTTTTTTTACTCTTGAACCAGACGTATAATAAAAATTATATATTTTTTATATGGTGGACTTCATAGAAATTAAGTTGTAGAGCTTGTGATAATGAGGAACATTTTTTTTTACTTGTCAGTATTCCTGAAGAAAGCTAAAGGAGCACAGCAGGTGCATCAACAACATCCAGATTGGTCTCAACTGTGTGGCTTTCCACCCTGACAGCAAGAGGTAAATAACTGAGAACCTACACAGACAGCTTTTGATTGTGTTATTCCAGCTCGTTCCATTCATTGTGCCTTGTATGCTATTGTCTTAACAGCAATGGAGAAGACTAGGACTCTGCCAGGTAGAGTGAAGGAGCAACTTTATTTGAAGCAGATCACTTGTTTGCTGGACTTGAGTATTTTTACTGAAATCTGTAATTGCTTGAGGAAAGTGTTATTCAGCTTATTCCACTCATTGTACCTTAACGCTGTTGTCAGACACTTAACAGAATCACTTTTTAGCAACACTTGGCCATTGGACTTATGGTAATTCTAGCTCATTCCATTCGTTTTGCCTTTTTGGTATTGAAATTTTAATTGTGCGCAGTATTTGACTGAAAAGACTGTAAACCTTCCAGAATATGCAGAACTGAAGAAGCATCTCCTAAATGTAAGATTTTTTTTTTTGATTTAGGTAAAAATTCATTGTGCTTTAATATTATTGTAAACCTTCCAGAACAAGCAGAAACCTCTTCTCCTAAAGGTAAAAATAATTGTGCTTTAATGCTATTGTAAAATAGTCACTATCATTGTGAACTGTATTTGATTGTTGTCCAGAATAAAGTTGTTGAAAACATGCTGTGCAGTGCATTTATTTCTAGAAATTGAGCAAAGGTTTTTTTAAGTTTGTTTTGTATTAAGTTTTAGTTTTATTTAAGTTAGTTTTTTAAAGTTTATGTAAACTTTAAAAAACTTTATAAAGTTAAAGTTAAAGTTTATGTAAAAAGTAAGCAGTAATACCAGAATACTTCCACAATGAACAAAACAAGATCTTTTTAGTCTTTTAATAGCAGCAATAACAAAACATCACAACAGTAACACTTCAGCTGAAGATGGACAGATCACATACTCACAACACTGTCAACCACATGTACGCACAGGATTCAACGAAGGCCCCATCATCAGGAGTGGAACAACCTCTTCTTTTGGCCTGAAACAAGATGAAATAAAGATAACATTCTATACACATACTCAAGATGACTACACCATGTTCAAAGTGTTTAGCACGAGCATGTTACTAAACACTTCAATGAACCTCTACAATCTACTTAGTTAAACCACTCTTTTGCTTTGTGCCACTACTTGGTATTCTAAATAATTTCACATTCAACAAATATACATGAAAAAATTCAAGTAACAAATAAAAACACTATTTGGACAAAGCCAAAAACAACTCACCATCTAGCACAAACTTCAAAGTCCTCACCCCAATGTCCATCTCTTCCTTTTTCACTTCTGCAAAGACAAAGTAAATACAATAACAATACTACTTGTTCTGGCTGTAGTCAATTTGGTCTTTACTGGATTTGTCCAGTTGGTGTCACTCTTTAGTCAATACCTGTGAAAGGCTTAAATCCATTTCTTTCATACCTTTAATAGCGATGTTGAATCATTACTTTGGCCACGATCTAAACCCAAGTCGCACATTAAAAAAAAAGTTGGGAAAAAAAACTTAATCGCACAGACTTACCGCTTTGAAGATGGCTTTGTTGGTAATTCACTGCGTAGTATTTGCTCTTTCCAACCCCGACGTCCTGTAAACATTTCACAACACTCTGTAAATGCTGGCCAAAAGTATCATTTCTAGTGACAAGAACTTGCCACGTTTCTTTTCTTACTTGAGCAGCCAAAGAATGGCCAGGGCGATGGTGTTCACGTGACAAACCAGATGATTCCGATACGGGTCTGCTGCTACACCTGAAGGGATTCTGAAGAGACAATTCAATAACACGCTGACTCGTGCAGTCAGAATTAGTTTGAATGTGCGAACCGTGCAGCTCAAACAGGCTACTGTTTAACATGCTAACCGGCTGCCCCACTCGGCGGTTCAGAAACCGACCGTAGAATATTGCTCCCTTACATAACGCGTTAATCGCCAAAGTGAAGAGTACCATATATAGGATACGTACCGTCGTAACAACAGCAAACGCTTTCTTTGGTGCCTTTACACAGCGCCATTTTGCAACCATCATCTAAAGTCCCCCGGAAAGTGTTACCACTTCCTTCCGCTTTCTCAGCGCACGGCTGCGCCTCGTTATCCAATCACAAGCGATCTGCACGGCATCTACGATCCAGGTGACAGTGCAGGTACAGGCTCATTAGTTTGTTAATGGATAGACACACACAGTCACTGCACACTATTGTCAGTGCAGATCAAGGAAAATTCCAGCAACTACTATACTAAATTATGCTGCAAATACTGATCGCATCAAATGTGTGTAAATGTTACAAAAAATGATCTGTGACAAAACCAAGGATACATTTTAGTTTTGGACTGACATCTGTTGTCATCTGTTGTGATATCTGTTGTGTCCAGAAAGGATTTCTTTTTCCTTTTTTCCCCTTTAGATTTACCTTTTTCTTCTTCTCATTTTTCAAATGTAACGAAGGAGAATACTTCAAAACAAACGGACCAAAGTAAAAGTAAAATAACAGTACATTTGCTTTAAAAAAAGTACAAGTACACAAAATAACCTCTCAATTACAGTAAAAACGACTAAATGTAATTTGTTACTTTCCACCTCTGAACAGAAGTACAGAGTTCAATACTAAGTATCATAAGTTCAATGTAGTTTATGTTACATATTCTCTCCACAAGAGGGAGCTGAAAACGTCCATGGTAGGGCATTTAATTTCTAATCTATAATATCCATATATTCTTGTATTGTATTAAACTGTTCAATTTTATTTTTGTGTGTTTAACAAAAGAGTAAAAACCCACTGCTAAAGAGTTTCTGAAATGTCTGTGCTTATGAAGTACAGTTTCGGCTGCAAAAACGTACAAAGTCCTAAATATTTAGACAAACTTTAAGGTTTTCTTGAAAACTATCCAGGTTCTTAAGATAATACATAGTTGCCCCTTTTCTCCTTTATCATTTAGTAAACGATCGATAAAATTATTCTTTTCACAAGGGCAGTGAAAAAAACCACCAAAATACAATAATATAAAATATACTACAGTATATGTTTCTTTTATTTATTAATCAATTTATAAGTTTATGTCCTAAAATGTCAAAGTGTCAGAGTATGGACAAACGTTAAAAAACGTTTAATACATAGTTCTCCTTTGCCGTATAGTGAGCGGTAGGTGAAGTTACTAATGCTCTCCACAAGAGGGCAGTTAAAACTCAACACTCGGATATCGTAATTCATTCAATGACTTCCTGTAAATACATTCAGCGTAAATTCAGCGTAAGACTGGGAAACAATTCATCGGATTTGGGAATTAACATAATACTTTGTATCATTGTTCGTCGAAAAAACTCGACAATTTCAACGGTGCCTGTTATGTGTTTGAAATATATTCCAATAAAATTCCAAATAAATATTTAAATTTCGTCGTTTTCTTTTAAATAGTAAATAAATACGTCCGATTACTTTTACTTGATTTAATCTGTATGATAGGGTTCATGCAGGGGTGCTTTTTAACAATTGAGTAGATTAACCCGTGACTGCATCTGGTTAACATTTAAACATTTTATATTTATTCAAATGTCTACACGTTATTGTACTTAAAGCCAACGTATATGTTTGTTTTTGTCAACATCCCAGACTTTCAGTGAAGGCATCACCACAACCTGTTGGTCTGGTCCAGCTGATGTGAGCGACAATATTCACCACCGTGGCGGTAGCGTCCACTCGAGGTGGTGCGGCTACAGACAGGGACACAGACGAAAAGACAGACATACGGAGAGTGAGCCGGGTAGAAACTTTAGTTTCACCTTCTGGGAACCAAAAACACCGGTTTTCTGTCACACCTGTCTGAATGGAGGAGCGTCTGAAATATCAGTAAGTTCCCAGAGATTTAAAATAATTTTTCGGTTGGTTCTTGATTATCTGATACATCAATAGTTGAATTTATATATTTTTAATTTACAAATTATTTGTGTTGTGGTGATTCTTTGAGGTATTTTAAGCGTCAGTTCCGTTTACTTGTGTCATTATTGTCTTTTTGCGCAGAGTAACGAATACTGAAACTATGCGCGCTTTTGTGTTTGTACACGTTTTATTTAACACCGAGTGTTTCACTGTCTCGGTTCTTATTTACTTATATTTTCTCCTGACTGTTAGATACGTCTACACCTTAGTCGCAAAGACTCGGTGCACATTATGTCTGAACTGATGGACATTACTTTATCATATCATTATATGCATTACCCTATTTTGGTCCCGGTCATCTGCCAACAGAAGACAACCCGACAAGAACCACATTTAAATAAACCAAACGGTCATCGCCTACACTGGATGGCCAATCAGGAAGGTAAAAGCTAAAAGCTACATCCTCTCATTCTCTCCCTCCCTGGTGGAGACACAGTACCTGTCGAGCATGAAGTATTTTGTGTGTTGTCAAAACGTTCCCAGTATCTGTGCCATCATTACACACCTAGTCCTGTGTGTTGAAATCCACACAATATTTTTTATGTATTTTATAAATATTATTCCCCTTAAATATTGTCATATTATTGCATGTATCCCAAACCCTATAATAAGTGTTGCCTGTTGGACTATGCAAGGCAGGGTCGTCCTCTCCCCTGAGTCAAGCCTAAAGCTGACCGCATACCCTGTGGATCTGACCCGGGGTCTCGAGTGGGGGTGGAGTGGGTGGTCCTGCTGTTTTCTGGGCCCAGCAGGGAACCTTCCGCTTGACCCACAACTGTTGCGTGTCTACTGCCAGTTCTTCAGCTGCATTCTCTCTGCTCTGTGTGTTAAAGCAGTTTATATGATTGGTGATGCATCTCTGAACTAATACAACTATAGTATCTGCTGTTCAATGTCATTTAGAAATTTATTGTTTTGTCTACAGCCAGGATCATGGAGAGCAGTCTGTCAAACACCTGCTACTATGATCACAACGTCACCTTCTTCTACAATTGGGTTGGCAAGAAGATCAGTGTGGCGTGGACGACCCGGGACTTTGTGGTGATTGGACTGGGCCTGACTGTGTGTTTCATCGTCGTCCTGGCCAACCTGATGGTGATGGTTGCCATCTTTATGAACCGTCGCTTTCACTTCCCCATCTATTACCTCCTGGGCAACATGGCTGCAGCTGATCTGTTTGCCGGTGTGGCCTATGTCAACTTGATGTTAAACACGGGCCCCTGGACCAGCATGTTGACAAAGAATCAGTGGTATATCCGCGGGGCCCTGATTGACATCAGCCTGACGGCGTCTGTAGCCAACCTGCTGGCTGTCGCCGTCGAGCGCCACCAGACCATCCTCACCATGCAGCTGCACAGCAAGATGAGTAAGCGTCGGGTTGTGCTGCTGATAGTCTGCATCTGGGCGGTGGGCATCATCATGGGCGTGGTGCCCTCCATGGTGTGGAACTGTGAGTGCCATTTGGAGGATTGCTCCACCGTCGCCCCCCTTTACAGCCGCCGTTTCCTGATCTTCTGGGCAGTTCTGAACCTGCTCACCTTCTTCATCATGGTAGCCATGTACATTCGTATCTTCATCTACGTCAGATACCAGAGCCAGTACACGTCGCAGCACAACTCGGAGATGCAGCACAGCCAGACCATTATCAACCTGATGAAAACTATCTTCATGGTTCTCGGTGAGAAGTCCAGCACACACTCAAAACCACAAAACACCAGCCTGAGCATTCACTTTCATCCACTCTATTTCATGAATGGTTTCATCTGTGTACTCTATCTACCTCAGATCAGTTGACCATGAGTCCATCTCTGTTTATCTGCAGCCACCCACTTCCTTCACAAACCAGTTACACAGCTTAAAGCCTTGTTTGTTTCAGTAGACCAGATCATCGCACTGCGGTGTCTCAGTTTCAGGAGCTCTTAGGAATTTACAGAAATGTTGAAATCACCACCCTCATAAAAACCTTGGTCAGGTGACTCCACTTCTGGCACCTCATAGAGCTGCAGCACTTGACTTCTCCAGAGTAATCAAATACATTAATAGCACCAACTGCAGGGCAGGAAGGGAAGCTCAGTGCTACACTGAATAGTACAGTAAAGAAGAAAATATTGCATTCACCAACTTAAAATTTGGATTTGGCTCCACCTGCTGATTATGTTGTGATTAACCTTTTTTTTTTTTTTAAACTACCCCCCACCCTACCCCCACCCTCAGGTGCTTTTGTAATCTGCTGGACGCCAGGCCTTGTGACTCTCTTACTGGATGGGCTTCTGGGTAAAGAAAGCCACGCCAACGACTACGAGAAGTTCTGTTTAGTCATAGCCGAGTGCAACTCTCTGGTCAATCCCATCATCTATTCCCTCCGGGACAAAGAGATGAGGCAGACGTTCAAGCGGATCCTGTGTTGCCTCTTTCGCAGAGTGGATGATCAGCAGAGGCAGCCCTCACCCATTGAGATTGACTCACCCACACCTAAGGTAACTGAACTGGTTATTGTTAATAATGCAGAAGCTGTGGCAGGTACACACGTTTGTACAAAAGTGTCAAGACCATATTTTCCTCATATTTCATCTTAAACTTACATTAAGAAAACTATAGAAATGTCCACAAAATGTCCGAATCAGAACATCCAGGACAACTAAGTCCACAATCAGAGCCTCACTTAAATTTGTGATCACTGCAGTGTTTTTTTTTTTTTAAATACATTTTCTGTGAGTCACACATGTTCACACTCGTCTCTCAGAGGCACATGTTCATCTCTAATCTAACCCATCAGGCTTAAAGTAAAAGATATGTTTTCTGATACATGGAACAGACAGAAACTAGTAAAAAAAAATGAAACTTGTGAGATAAGTTAGAACGTGATGATTTGTTTTCCCTCTGTTGTCCACAGGAACCTCTAGGGTGTGTCCAGAAGTCTGAACATGAGGCTTTGTGTTTCTCACAAGAAACAAACCATAAAGGAGACAGTTGGACAACTCCGGGGCTTTGATGGCTTTAAGCAAGCATTAAAAAAAAGAAATACGTAATTTTACTTAGCGTGTCAAGAAACGTGTATATAATTTATCACTCGTCCCAAAGCTACCTCTAGTTACTGCCTACCTTTGTACATGCACTGGATGAATACTGTATATAAAGATGCATTCATTAAAAAACAAGAAAGTATTCCTTGTGTTCAGTGAGTACCAGGAAAGGACTGCTAAACCACAGGTACCAGGAACTGAAAGGACATAAAACCCTAACCCAGTGTATGTTTAAGAACTATTAGTTTGGAGCTTCTTTAATTCATTCGTTTTCTATGGCTTAATTATTTTAAACATTGCTAGATGCAGTCCTGGCAGCTGGTGAACCGTGGTGATGTAAACCTTGTGTTGATCAGTGTCCGATTAAACCGATCCCCAATCTGCATTATTGTGGAGCTCAAGCTGAAACGTGTTATTTCCTGCACTAACCCTGTCCTAACTGTACAAGCGAGGGCCAGTGAGTTCCTTGAAAATGGTTCCTGGTACTATGTGGCGAAGACTCGGCTACCGTTTCCACAAGGCTGAGACATTCACATCATCAGATGGTGCCATCTCTCCTTTTTATTACATTTGACTATCACAAGAGCATTTGTGACAAATTATAAAAATTAAACACTCCTAAAATAAAAAGTGATATACTGCAAAAAGAACCGGGGGAAAAAAAAAATCACACTAAATTGTTTTTATTAATTTTCTAATAAGAACACTACAATTTGTCATATTCTTCCTTTTGTTTTACTCTTTCTAGAACAATTCTAAAGTTGAGGTATAAAAGGAGTTCATACAGACTGACGAGTCTGAAAACAGTGGGGGTTATATACAAGAGAAATGGAAAGACAGAGGTAGAGAGAGGGGTAAATACAAGGGAAAGAAGGGAGATACAAAGATACTAATAAAAACAAAGAAATCATAAAGGTTTAGGAGAACGATTGGTGCTGTGAATCAGGCAGTTACAGCCTCCAATAAAAGGTTATGTCGACAAGTCAGACCTGAATAGATCTGCACTTTAATTTTCTTGCTCTGCCTTGAACTTTCATACACACAGAGACACAGACACACCACAGTGTTTTCACAGCTGTGGCTGTTTTTTTACTGTAACCTTGAGTTTTCAGCCGAGCAACAGAAGCAGAGCCTTTTGACTGGAGCAGAGTGCAGACCATACACTTCAGTGTCATTTCAATGCTCTCTTCCTGTTCCTGGAAACTGAACCAGAAACACAACTGAGCCGATACATAAACTAAACTTTCCTCAGCTCAGACCCCAACACATTCGTATTAGATTTAAAGTCCTGCAAAGTTTGAATCCTCCCAATTTGCCAGACTACGTTGCCCTGGCTTCCCTTTCAGCGTACTCAAATTTCAGGTTACACCAATACTGGTGAATATTGACACCACAGTAGCTCCGTCAGCTACATTCATCTGTTCGCAGCACCAAACGTTCTGCCTGTAATCCTTAACATTGCCACTTGGTTATGTAACAAAATACCTAAATAATATTCAAAGTTGATACAGAGTTATTGTGAATCCGTGACACAAAGGCCAAAGAAAGTTTATAAAAGGAAAAAAAAATACTGAAACATTACAAACTGTACAGTGACATCCATTACAACAGGTAGAAAAAGGAAGGGGAGGGGCATGACAATTTGGTGTGGCGACAAGGTTATTTATAAGATACAGTCTTATGAACTGCAACGAAAAAACCAATAATCAAATATGGGATATGAACATATAACCAGCTTACAAGCTCAAGTTTTGTTCTGTAACACATGGTTCAACAAAGTCTTGACTGACACTTAAATATTCATAAGGCTTTACCTTACTATCAAAATGCTTCGTTATTCACATAGGTTTGAATGTATAAAATAGTTCCAAAGAATAAAAAGAAAAAACCTGCGCCCTCCCCCCAAAACACTGCAGGTTTGTCTCCTTTTACTTCACCCGGTGCTGCCTCGTTTTTGGTAACAGAGGAGAGAGGAGCCCTTTCCCAATTGGGCATAGACTTTCAACGTAAGAGTGATTTTAGTCAGACGATTAGCAGGTGGGTAAAGTTGAGAACGTGCCTGATTCTCATAACATCGGCTTAGAGGACTGAGAGGACAAGTCTCACTTTACCCACCCTCCCGTAAAACCCCCGCAACAAAACCTCCCATTAAAAATGAAATCATATTGAGGCATGTCAAAAGCACAGAGACACAGATAGAAATAAAACTCCCATCTTCTCCTCAAACTACAAAGATGGCTGTGCACCACCTTCAGAAGAAGGAGACAGAGAGAGACAGAGAGAGACAGAGAGTGTGAGAGAGAGAGAGAGAGAGTGTTATTAAAATTATTACATTGCTGAATGTGGTATTTTTTGGTTTTGGTACAACAGAAGGTTGTAGTGTGTTACCTCAGGCTGGGCTCAAGATGGAAATGTTTACAAATGGGGAGATGTCGTCAGTGGGACCCCACCTGGTGTGTCATTGGCTGGTGGAAGCACCCAGTTTATATAATGCTCACAAAGGTCAAATGGCACCAGCCGGTATGACCCCAAAAAGAGAGACTGTACACACACCCACACAGAGATACACACATTATATTAACACATGATGCACTTCTTCCTTTTTGGTCTGACTGTGATAATTATACCCTTTATTTTTTTTTTTTGTTATTAAAACAAAGGTAAAAAACCTGGAAGGTTAAATGAAAAACAATATCACGCCTAAAAGTCTTACATGCATGGAAGACAGTCACATTTCTAAAATCATGTCACATTTGTCCCAATAACACATTAATGCCCCCACAATCTTTCCACCCATCACCTAATGTCATTTTGATGCTTTATTGAGCTAATTTTTTTGGTGGTGGCTGGTGCATTCTTGGTGAAACAGCATTAGAAAATAGCCTACAATCAAAAAACTAATGGACAGAAAGCAAGAAGTAAAGTCTACAAGCCATCTACCAACACCCTCTATTGGTTAGCAACATATAGGGCTATTAGTTACATCCACACTCACATTTTCCCTCCTTTAACCCTCCGTTCACTGACCCTATTATCAACTGTCCCTGCCCGGTGGAGATCACTGCTAACCTTCACTAACATTTTACAGGAAGAGACGCCCACAACAAGGATGCTAACGTTTGTGCTCGACACTTAAAATGCCAGCGAATAACTGAAGTTTGTCGAAGGTTGTCGGGGCGTGCGTCACGTTAAGGGGCGGGGTGCGGAGGGGTGGGGGGGTTGCATGCACTTTTGTACATGTCTTCATTCACTTTGAAATATCCCACCGAAAACAGCCGCCCACCAATAATGACTGGTAGATACAACAGCGTAGCATTTGGAGCTGGCAGAGGGCGATCGCAGGGGAGCAGAAGTGTTGACAACCACTGGGGGCAGCACTTTGGTACGAGCGTGGAGAGCAGAGCTCTCTGGTGAACTGTATCCACAGTTTGGCTGTCGGCGCCAAGGCCTCCAGAGATACAGGCAATCACACAAAGTTCTCCAAAGCAAAGGGGTTGAGTGCAGAAGTCAACAGCACATGGAAAAGCTGTGTGTGTGTGTGTGTGTGTGTGTGAAGTTAACGTGCATATACACATAATGTACAGACATCGTGATCATCTACACAGCTGTGTCAGTGGTTCTCAAAAAGTCCTTGGTGGTTTGAGGGTGTTTTCCTTATGCGTCAGTATCAGTACGTTTCCTCCCCCCTCTTATTTGGAGATATGGAGCTTTGAGCATTGAAATGGAACTGGGGAGGTGAAGGGAGTGAATTCCTCCTGACTGTTCAGCTGTCCTGTGTTCCAGCACAGTGTGTGTTCCTGAAATGAAAACAGCTACATGTAGCTGATAAGTTGAGAGAGGGGGGAGGGGTATTGAAGGACGGGGGACAGAAGAAGATGTTAGTCAGAGCAGTCCACAGTGGGAAAGAAGCGATGGCAGGGGGATCAGCCAAAAGATCAGTTGGACGTGTCTGATTGGACGCTGCTGGGAGGACCAGGAGGGGAGGTGACTGAGCGGGAGTCGATGGTGTCCGGCCAGCTGTTAGCCTGCAAATACAAGGATAAGTGTATTTGGGATAAAAGGCTTGCTGTCCTGGGCTGTGGCTAACAAAAACACCACAGCTTTCCATGAAGATAGCTGTAATTTTCTGGAGTAAAGGAATTTGTCTATCAAAACATTCAGTAACGTAATCTTAACTTACAAAACCCATGACAACTTTTTTAAAATCTATTTTTATACAGATGTTGACTTGTCACCCTATCATAAAATAAATCAAATGGCTTCAATCAACAGTTTGCATCAAAAGAGTTCCTCCCCTGAGTGTTTTTTCATGCATTGGTATTATACTAAAAATGGAGCCAAACTGCTGGAGTAAACAAAGCATTTTCAATTCATCAAAGTCTTATCTAGTCATTGAATCCCGCTCCAGAGTCATACGTGGTATAAGGGCCTATCCATGTGTGTATCTCACACTGAGTTGACATTCCTTGTTGTTTTAATAGGGGGCCTGTGTGATGCCATAAAGGGGAAGGGTGATTTTTCATGACAGCTTTTATGATTTAACCTCCACATTACTGAGTTATTTACATGACAGCTGAGAACTGGGCAGTCTTAACAGGTTGATAACAGCATATAAATCAACAGATCAGGCCTCAGTGGTGGAGCTGTCGCATGTTGTTCAGCTTAAAGAAATTGAAAATGAACACTCAGATCCCAGGAATAAAAACCAGTTGGGAAAGTGCTGGGGGTTTTCTCACCCAGCTCTGAAGTCTGTGGAGTAGAGTGAAAACAGTTGCCTTGATCTATTGAGGTTATCACTGACTGTCATCGGCCCAAGGTAATACATTCCTGTTCTTGAACAGTTGCCCCAAAAAACGTATTTAAAAGACACAAACATAGACGGGAAGAGTAAAAATAATGTCGACTCTCCACCAGAAAAATACTTGAATACTCACATCCAGTTGATGAGGGGTGTAGAGGCCACTACCTGACAGCTCCTCATAGCCGCCCGTCAGGTGTGTAGCACGGTGCAGGGTATCCACCTGTCAACAGATGAAGACGACAACCTCAGATGACGTTGCTACACCAGCCTACAACCTAAACTGTTTCAATCCAAGTACCTTTTTTATGAACTAGACAAATACAAGCTGAGACGAGAGGAGTGAAAGCATCCGCAAACCTCTGCTGTACAGTATGTTCCAGAACCTGTGAATCACTCATAATCGCTCTGCTGAGTACTCCCCCATCTAGTCAGTTAAGGCAAACATCACCGCTATAAAATTATACTCCTCTACTTCATGATGTCCTATTTAATCCACTTATGCTCTGAGATAAAGAACAAAGACGAAAACAGAGCCTATTAAATTTCTGGATGACTTTCTACTCAGCAGCAGAGTTTTGTGGATTCTCCCAGGAAACATAAAAACATTTCATCTTTTCAGGATACTGTAACAACCACATGGGAAGTTCAACGTAAAAGTGTTTCTGGCTACACAGGTGATCTGGGTAAAAATGGACATTTGGGATTGAACAAGGTTTAAATAGGAAACAGATCAAACACAGGATGATGTTGTGGAACAAAGGAGGGGATGGAGACCAATCCTGAAACTGGGCACAGGGTCTTTAAATGATTGTGACTGTGATCTTCACAAATATACAGTAGCTACATGTAGCTATAATAAGCAATAATACAAGAGGGTCTTTATTTAAGTAATGCCTCTTAAGAACAGCACTGTATGGAGCAACGATGGTAAGTCCACAGCGCTGAGTGAGGAAAAAATGGGGGGAGGCTGTCAAAGGAAGGAGTCGGGATTGAGGAGGGGTCTACGTCAACAGGATCTACGCAGTCGGTGGGTTTCCAAGGATTTTAGGTGACTAGATCGCCTGCATTGAGGTCAGCCCTGCGGCTGTCCTCAGTGCATACCTGTGGCTGCAGAGAGGGGGCGATGTTGAGAACCTCCCCGTTGAGCGAATGAAGGCCGAGGTACGTGTCGCCTGTTTGAGACAAGCTGAATGACCCTGGTGACCCTGTAGGCAATATGTGTACTATATGTGTATATATAGATGGTAGTACAGTGCAGTACCATGGGTTCAACAGGTCACAACTGGTCATGGACATTAATTAGCAGCATTTCATTTTCATAACCACAATAGATGTTGGTTTCTTTGGCCGATTGTTTGATTACATCAACATGACTCATTCATGTGTTAATACTGCTTTACGTGTAAAAATTCTCAATTTTCACAACAGTGAAAGAAGCTTGTTTGAAGCTGGTGTCAGTGAAGAGAAGTTTCGTTACCTGAGTTTGGCGTTGCTGGGGAGTTAGCCTGGCTTGCCTGTGCTGACACATTGGCAGCATCCACTGCGGTTTTCACTGCGTAGAGGTTGGCTTCCTCCTGGAACTTACCAATGTTCTTCTTGTAGCGTATTCTCTTGTTGCCAAACCAGTTAGAGACCTGGGAAACGGAGGAATGTCAAATACATTCCAACTCAGCTTTTCACCCTTTTCACTCAAATTTGTTGATCTCATTCAGCAAATCTACAGTTGGTAATCACATCTCAGCAGATAAATATATCTGTGCCAAAGTCTCTGAGTCTAACTTAAATAAAGGTGTGTATTTATTTTTACCTTTCTTGATGATAGTGTGATAGAAAATTACCTGTGACACGGTGATCCCACACTTTTTGGCCAGTTCCTCCTTGGCTTCCTCACTGGGGTAAGGGTTAGACAGATGGGAGTAGAAATACTCATTCAGCACCTCTGTGGCTTGCTTGTTGAAGTTGCGCCTCTTGCGTCTGAAACAAAACAAACAAAAAAAGATGATAAGTGTTTGAAACATAATTACCAAGACAACCTGCAAACAAACCAGCGAGACCTATAATGCACAAACTGGCCCACTTTTTAAAGGTATTTTGCAACAATAGTTCTTCTAGCTTCAGCTGATGGTTTAAGAAAATAATAAATACAGTTGAAAGGAAAAATAAACTTTTAAGACTTTAACAAGTTATGCATAACTTTCACAAAACCTGAGTTTACACTTTAGGGTACTATTACCTGAGACCCACAAGGTGTGTGTGGGCATATACCATTATCATTCCTAACTGACATTAGACAAAAGATCTCACAGAGACACTGAAGATTTGCATTCACTCACTAGACCATACCAGCTAGACACACACATAGACCGACCTGGCATCAAGGAAGCGTGAGCGTAGGATCATGACGGCCTCACAGGTGCTCTGTTTGAGCTGCATCTGAATGGAGCTGAACTTGCGGTGGATGATGGCCACCATGCGCTCAATCTCCTTGGGAGAGATGGGCCGTGTGCGGGACTGCTCCCTCAGCAGGTTCATTACATGGTTGGTGAACTCACTGCAGGCCTGCACCATAGAAAGGGGAGGGGTTGATAAAAATAAAAAAAACAGTCCAAACACAGATACAATTCCACATTATGGCTTATGATGAGCCCTGTCCAGTAAGTAAAAACGTAAGATTTATCAAGTAGCTCTGATTCTCAAAGGGGGGTCTGGGGTCACATATGGTATGGGTGTAGAGAATGTAAAGTCAATTGATCTATTATTTATTTTATATATCCCTGTGTAACAATTCATTTTATTTATTTCCAGAGCATAATTTAAACAGAAAGTAGTGAGAGAACATTGGAGTCTGACTGACTGCCACCTCAGAGTCTTTGTCAGAATGACAGCTGCAAACTCTCAGTTGCCTGAGGCAGGTGTGGGCCAACACTTTAGTTACTTTTGCTCATTCCGTACCACAGCAGCTTATAATACCTTAACTTAACATTAAATTGGAACACTGCTTATTAGTGTTACATATTTACTAGCAGAAAAAAATATTAATGGAAGTAAATATTCAAGCGTTTACGTCTTGGTAGCACACACCTGCTCATACTTCTCCAATTCAGAATGATAAATCTGGCGGATCTGGGCCAGTTTGGCTCTGTAGTCAGAGTGCTCTATGCTGCTGTCGGTTGGTGAGCCCCCTGCTGCCGCTGCGGCTGCCGCCGCCG